AGTCACTCCATGGTGTTTATCCTTCATTCGGAGCATATCAGGCTGCTGCAAGAACTGCAAGAACAGAGGTAGGTCAGAGCAAGGAAGCTTCCGCCAGTCACGGAACGCATCACATACATGCAAACTTGATGCCGTCTTTTGCCATAGCTCGATCAGTTCAGCCGTCTCGTCTTCTGATCTTGAGCCGGATACACCACGCCTTGCGCGTGGTAGTATGAGACAAGATCGAACCCCAGGCAATGTTCTTTGAGTACGTAACCTTCTGATTCCATGTGAAGGCTTGCGTAATTTATCTGTTGTCACACCTCTCAGTCTTGGCGCTCTTTTTCATGTAGAGATCGTTTCCATTTCGTGCGCGTATCTACCTCTCTACCTAAGAGGCAAAAAGAAAACTTTTGGTAAAGGCAAATTTCAAAAGCAAAACATTCGGTCCCGTTCGTTCCCGTTCCATAATCTCAAGAAAGCCGCCAGCCCGATCGCATGCTGCTTCGCTTGAGTCTTGACTCCCTACTCACATCCCGTAAAACCCTGATACACGTGAGACCAATCCGCAATCCTCACTGAATGTACGTTGCCCGAGTGCCAAGAGGGCGGGGAGTGGGCTGCTTCGTCTGCTTGACATTTGCCTCCAGAGCCGATAACAGACCCTGACGGTCGAACTCGGTCAGCTGAAGCTTCTGCGCAGTCTGAATATGCTGAACGTCAACTTTCAAGATGTCTCGGATGGCAAGAAGCTCGTCAGAGCCCAGGCTGTCCGTGATACGCTTGGTCTTGTAGTTCAAGAGGAAGTGGTTGCTCATCATCTCCTCACGCTTGTTGAAGATGGCAGTCGTGGCCTTGGAAATTTTGATTGTCACCTCCTTGAGGTTGGGGCACTTGGCCAGCTTGAGGAACGCCGAGTCAGACTGAGGACCGCACCAGTGAATCTCAACCTTGCGCAGGTGGTCGAACAGGTTGCTGTTGGTGTTCAGGTGGCCAAGAAGCTCGCAGCAGCAGGCAAAGTACTGAGTCTGTTCGCCGTAATAAATCTGATAGAACTCATCTCTCAGGGCTGCTCCCAAAGTCTTGTACATTTTGAACTGTTGCTTCGCCATGTGTCCCCACAACTTTGCCTCAGGGTTGGCACAGTTGCAGCGGTACTTGTCTTGGATGCGCTTGAGGGCAGGCATTCTGCAGGCCTTGGAGCTGGTCTCAACGACCATGTGAAGCACACGTGCTCGAATCTCACGGGGCAACTTCATGAACGGGAAGACGGTAGGAGAGGGGCGGTCTGCAATACAGGAGTTAGTTACTCTATGGACTTTTCCATTCCGATGTACCCATAACAATCTCTGAAAGAACATCAACGTCGTTGAGTTCATGAAGCACTTACTGGCAATCTCCAAGACTTCGGTGCACATATGAATGAGCAGGGCGCATTCTCTTGTCTCGTCTTGCTTGTTCTTTTTCTGCTTTGTCATTCTCTCGGTACACTTTCGGATAGTGTCGATCATGGCCTGACGTCTCTTGGAGCTCAGACGAAGCATCCGGCCGAGCTCAGCCATGTCAATGGTCCCTGTTTTGGTGTCTTCCAGAGCTTGCAGCATCACCTGAGTGTTGTGGCACAGGTCGAAGCGCTTGTGGATGTTGCGACACTTCAAGACGAACCACGAGTCCATGCCCAAGACCATCTTGACGGTATGCTTGTAATTCTCTTTCTTTCCTTAGGTACGATATCTGACAGTCAAGACGCGCTTGGTGAACGCTTTGACGATATATGCTCGGTGCAGTAAGCCAGGTATCGGGACGCTAGAGATATATGGTCGGAAAGAAACGGTCTCAAGTCTGATGAGGGCTCTGACTGTTGTCGCTTCTAAAATGAAGTGATCTAGCGTTCGAATGGACCGCGTGGAAGTTATGGTGGATGGCCGGTTCGATGTGATTCAGGTATGCGCTAATATCAAGCGAAGAAGAAACGCGGAGATGTCGATGTACGGTTCTAAGGTGTGTTGGGTAGGAAGAGGCGTCTTTGATGGGAAGAGGGCTGGGGAATATTGCAGATTCAAGTAGTCCAGGACTGATGAACTGTGCTTTGCGACTCTCGTGAACTTGGATAGCTGCTAATGGAGGATTTGTCGATTATTGCTCCTGCGTGATGACGACGCACAACTCGTGGTGCTTATCAAATCGACCTGCGGCTTCAGTATCAGTAAAAGAGCAGAGGGTTTTGGGATATGATCGAGATGAACTGTAGGCTGCGATATGAGGGTTTCCTCGCAGAGTGATGACGGTTAAGCGTATATAAAAATTGAGAGTCGTGAGAAAACAAATGCCAACACGTAATCCAAGAACTTACCTGTTTGTAGTGCGTGAGAGGGTAAGAAAGACGAGAAGACGAAAGTTTGGTGCTTCCAGTCGGTCGGGAGAATGGGTGTGAAGGGAAAGGGATATAACAAAGCTCAAGGGCTTAGAAGATATAAAGTAGTGTGAGCTCTGGTGATGTGAGTCGTCAAGTAGAAAAGTGCGCAGGCAATACCCCGGTCGGTGAGGTATGAAGAAGGGAAGAGTTGCTCAAGGGTCGCGGACTGTGAACATGTGATGTGATGCGAGCCCGGTATGGCAAGGAAATATTGCAGAAAAGGGTCTTGTCGATACCTAAGTTTGAGAGGTATGGAGGGGGAAGGGTTGCTGAAAGATCTCAGGCGGTGGATATAAGCCCCGTGAGGTGACGTGAGGCGCGTGAGCGGAAGGGTCAAATAAGATCGTTCAAAGGAGGGCTGAGGAAGGTACGAACGAGACTGTTAGAGGTGTAGCCTGTGCACTCAGTTATCGGTGAGGTACGAAGTGGGAAGAAACTTCTCAGAGCTCCCAGGTGTAGTTGTTTTGATACACGCCCGTGAGTGAGATGTGTGTATGCAAAAGGTACCAACGAGACCTTCGAGAGGATGTAGAGGCTCGCGTATCGTGGGTGCTCAGCTGTTGTTCGAGTATGAAGACTCAATGGATTCCTTAAAGGGTCCGAGGACGTATGGACGTGGCCGTGAAGTGAGGTGTGCCTGCTGTAGGTCTGGCAGCTGCGAATGAGGGCGGTCAAGCAGAGAGCAGAAAGAGGCAAGTGTGGTCCTGAACGCTCAGAGGTCCATGAGATACGAATGGGCAAGTAATCCCTCAGGGGTCCTGGTTGAGTATGTGTGATATGAGTGTAAGGTGCGATTTGTATGTGCACATGGGACAAGCGGGAAGAGGGGGTGTTCGGTGTAGGGTGTAGAAGGTAAATGGACTTTTGCTCTTCCTTGTTGCAGAAGAAGAGGGAGAAGACAATCCTTGTTTCTATGCTTTTGTCATTGAATTGTTAAAGTGTAGGTGATGAATGCCTTTGGGTGGGGGAAGATGTAGTGGTTCAGTTGGGACAGGATGCGATGTTTTCTTAGCAGGCACAGTGAGGTCGACTAAACGGCAGGCACGATGGAGTCGCTTATTCAGGAAGGCAGGTCCCCTGCAGTGGGATCGATCTAGGAAGGTGCAGATAATCAAAGGCGGTCCAGCTGTGTGGGATGTTCTGTGTATCAGTTTGTCAACATAAGAGAAGGCTACATAGACTGAATGCGACGTAGTGTGGTTCTCTCCCCACATGAGGCTTAAGTCGACTACACTACTAAATGCTGTCCGAAGTGTCATTTCGAGGGAAGACAACAGGTTGCCCAGGGGCCAGTGGAATCACTATGTCTTTAAGTCAAGTTTATACGGATCCCGAGTGATGTATAAGAGGAGCTCTTCAACGATAACGGGCTCAGTGACATACTATCAAGGCTGTTTGACATCTATTAAGGTATGTGCAAGATTTGGTGGCATATTTCAGGCCATAGCGAGTTCCAATTTACGCCTAACATATGTTGTAAGCGGTTTAATTCATATCCTCAAATCTAACTTAGGTTCAAGAGATGTTTAACTCTCCATCACTGAATGTGGCGCGATATACTTGGGATCCATTGCAGATATCCAACGTAACGTTGTTGCTAAATAGGTGATTTAGGTGCCGAAAGAATCAGCAACACGATGGAAGTCATGATCTCAAAACATTATGCCGACTTGCTCAATTGAAACAAACTCGTCTTAAATATAATGCCTGTCCTTGTGGTTTTGTACGAAGAGTGGTCACGAGTGTCGTATCTGGAAAGCCTCAGGGGATGGAAACGTGATGTGCTTCCATTCCCAAACCGACAGCCTTTCTCAACAAGTCAACAAACCTTGTGTATTACTTTGACAACAAGCAAAATACTACAATCACCGGAAATCACCTCGCTGCTGACAAAACTATGGAAAACTCGACATCAGGTTGTGGATGACGTATCGCAAATGTAGGTAGGACTGCGGCAACAATTATTAGAGCTACCAAGAGCTGGATACACGCTCTCATTCCTAGCTTCCCAAGAAACCCCATTTAAGTGGCAACATGTCACGAAGATTCATTCAATTGACAACAAAAGCAACGGTGACATGACTGGCAAGCGAGGCGATTCCGAGAATAGTCTAGACAGTGCGATCCTTTGTTAACTAATGGTGGGGCGACATGTCGAGCTTTATTCCAAATAGTACGGACATCAAGACTCATATCCTTTGTCCAAGTCTCTTAGGTCACCGGTGCAATAAATTGCCACTTGAAACGATGTGTTATCAATAGAGTAGAATTTCTCGTGTGTATCGTCGGTTTCGAGGTGGAGTAGTCCTTGCCTCAGTGCCATCTTGTTATATCCAAGTCAAGCATTGTTGCCATATTCATACAGTAACTCAGTTGCCATTCCCAATCCAAGTTCCCCATTATCATGTAAAAATCAAGAACTAAGGCTCGAACACAACGGCCATGGTGACCTTTTCTCCCCCCCAAATTTCAACCCCAAACTCCAAGGCGATGCCGGAAAAGGACGCTTCGAGACGTCGAAATCGGTTGTCTCTCGATACCCAATATGGGAAATAAAAGTGTCTCAGATGAGAACGGTCGAGAACCCCTCGGGCCGAGAACCTCAAGACCTCTCATCCTCTTCCGGGACGGACCGGAACTGACTCTCGCGAGGCAAGGGGTTCATCCGGAGCGGGCTGTCATCCACGTCCACGCTGTTGTGGCGTGATGTGCCGGGGCTGACGTTGATGCTGTAGTAACTCGACCGCGCATCGCGGCTCATCGGGCGCTGGCCCTTTCCGAATGTCATGGTGAAGCCGTTGAGAATCTCCTGGTGTCTGAGGTTGGTCTCGTTGAAGGGCCTCTCGCGCGGATCGGCCTCCTTCTCCTTGATGGCAGTCTTCTTCTTTGGCTTCTCTTCCTTTGCTGAGCGCCATCCAAATGTCTTTGCGAGGCGGAGAGCTGGGGACTTTGGGTCTGAGCTGGTACGCTCTCCCTGGCTAGGCTCGGAGATGGACTTGCGGCGGCGGAAGTGATCGCGGATGGCCATTACGAAAGTCTTGATGATATGTATGTAGAGCTATTGACGAAGTGGATGATGGAAAGGCAGAAGATGATAACGGTGGCTGATCCTTTAAGAAACTGCTTGACAGGATGCCTGATATATTTGGTGATATGTTTGGACCGGTGAAGACTGGTATTGAAGATGTGTGGTATGGCTCTGGATTGGCGTTGTAGGCTGTTGGTTTGTCTGAGTGAATTAAAAGAGGAGAATAATGGTAGGGGAGCCCGATGGTATTTATCCAGGGGTGACAAAGGCCAAACGACTTGGCAGCATGGGAGGGGAACGGATGTGGCGATCCCAAAGAATAGCACCGTTGGAAGGACCCAAGATGGTGGGATCCGTGTCGCTCAAAGGACCTTTCCAGGACCCTGCATCGTTGGGGTTGCTCGCTAGCCGCTGCTTTCACGACCCGTGAGGCCATATGCAGGGCAGCGTCCAAATGGACTAACAACGCGCTGGGTAGGAGTGGCAAGGCACCACTCACACCATACGGGCCGGAGATCGACTCTCCAGGCCGATGCTACCTTACGTGCTCAAGATGGAAGGCTTCTTGGATGGCGCAGCGTCCGCCTCCGGCTGGATGCGGGGGTCTTCTTCAAATGCGGGGCGACGTCATTCCAAAAACACATGTTCTGGTATCCTAACCATTGCTCTTGGAGAAGCTCCCTCGCCTTGGCCGATAGTAATGCCACCGGATTCCGATGTTTCCTGCTCTCCTTGGACCCAGATGATCTTCAACGTGGCGGGGTTGAGGTCTTCGACGGTCTCGACCCGATCTCTAAACTCATTGTTCTGCATTCTGGCCGTCCCAAAATGTCTTCTTTGAGAAAACCGACCCGTCCCCGATGGTACCGGCCAGGCCGGTTAGCGCTGCAGGCCTGGATTCCCGCCATGTCTCACTTAGTCTCAGGTACTCTAAACTCAATAGAATCGTAAGCAGCAATTCTCGGGCTCAAAGATCAAACAACTACCCGCGCGTGTGCGTCGAAAGGACATCAATTGGTGCACTCTATCTCCAAAGACCTAGCCATTTCCGGAACGCCGCTACCAACGCAGTGACAACCGCCGGGCTGCTGCCAGAACCCATTCTGGCTGTCTTCGAGTCTGCCTAGTACCGAATCGAGCCAATTTAGATGAGCAGAAGGGGATACCAGCTTAGACAAAGAAGAACCTTGTGTGTGCGCTACCAAGAGTGCGCGAGAATTCGAGTACCCCTGCTGATCAAACATGGCTCATCGAGATGTGCACTCGGCTCCAAAAACACCAGCGCTGCTAGATCCAAGGCCTCCCAGAGCTGTGAGACCCCAGGCCAACGCTGCAGATTCCCAGTCCATATCCTCATCGGGCAGTTCGTCGCCTTCGACAGCAGTGCGGCTTTCCGCAGGACTCGGCTCGTACGCATATTCTGGTGCCTCTTCGGGGTTTGCCGTACGCTTCAGGGTACGGCCTTGACGAGTGCTTCTAGACGAAGGTGTCTCTGAAATTGTCATCTCTGCAGACTTATTTTTTTCTGCATGTTGATTGCCCCTGCGTCGCGTGGAGACTGTGTTGGTGTGGCTGGACGATTCCGATTCCGGCTTTGTTTTGTCACTTCCTCCCAGTAGTCTGGGTGGTGGCTTTGCCTTCGATAAATCGTTCGGAGCGAATGGAGTAGAGGCAGCTAGAATGTCATTTACATCCAGCACACGTGTAGCCGCCCATAACCCTTGGCTGAGTCCGCTGAGCAAAACGTCCCATGCCACAGCAGCTACAACAGGATGGTCGGATGCCGATCCCAAGACTTTCCCCAGCGCCGTTGTTGTACGCTCCCACGTCGAGCGTTTCTCTGTGTCAAAAGGCAGGAACCGGCTATGACGATGATAGTGGGCATTTGGCGCATTGTAAAGCAAAGCAAGCGCGGTGCCTTTGACGTGGAAGGCAAAACTTGCTGTGGACACAAAGCGAAAGAGTTCAGTGAATATGCCGTATGCTCCGTGAGGATCAGAGTATACTGTGCCCCAACTAGCTGGAATGACAGCGGGAATGACAATGGGGCCAAAGGTCAGAAGTCGCCCAAAGATTGCGATCCGGGCAAATGTCGCTGTGCCTGTTGTCGACGGAGCCCAGTATATCAGAACGTATGTAAAGCAGAACGATGCCAAGAGCAAGGCCGGGTGTGGCGTCCAATTGATAGGCTTCACAGGCAGTAATCTCTCGCGCAGGCGTCCTAGTGCAGAGGCGGGATGTCTGTCGTCTGCAGTGGTGGTCGGGGCAGGAGTAAGAAGCAGTGCGAGATAGAAGAGGTTCTGGGCGAACGAGAGGCTGACGAGATGTGCTAATCCGAGGTAGGCCCAGACAGAAGGGATTCTTCTTCGTGTGCCTTCGACTGCCAACAGCAAGCTCCATGAGACCGTTGCGAGTTCGATTTGCTGGCCCCACCAGAACCGCCGAGCTTTCTCGGCGATGATCTCGAGAGCGTCCAGGTGGATTGGAGTGTCACTTAGCCAGCGGCCAATGAAGACTTGAGTCGCAGTTTCGTTGGGGATGACTCCATGATCGCCATAGAAGCTAAGGTATCATGAGTAAGCCAGACAAAGAAAGCGCAGAAGACGAAACAAACCGAACTGGAGCTTCAACTCCACGCTGATCTGCCCAGACGCGATATGAAAGTTTCGCATAGCTTGAGGCCCAGTAACTTGCAAAAGACAAGCTAATGAGTGCCAAACTTGCGAACAACGGCGCAAGAGCTGAACGGCGAACAAGTCTTGCTCTTGTTCCTTGAGATGGCGGCAAGTGCTGATACGAGCTGTACAGACTTCGAGCGACAGTGGTGCCGAGAATTGCCACTGCAAGCGCATGGCCAGCCACCAAGCTCAAAGGCAGGTACCTGAATATCACGTTAGGATCGCTGGCTTTCATTTCGATGATCAAACACACTTCACTTCCGGTTCCAAGGGCACCGGCGCCATGTTTGTTTCGGTGAAATGGCTAGACGACTGATGCTGATTATGGTGTTGTTACAGGATGGTCAGCCACTTTGAAAAGTGCACCGAGGTGAGTGATATCGACCTCGGGGGTCAAACGATGTAGGTGCGGCGCGCGTCATCATAGCACACACTTGGGCGCGTTCCTTGGAAGCTCACTCGACAGCCTTTGCCTGCTGCTGTTAATCACAGCGTCGGTATGAGGTGTACAACTACCTCCATTCGGGCAAGATGTGCTGTGTCGTCATGGTAGCGGTACCATGCTGCCAGGTAGACAGGGGCCCAGGGCGTCTGGCGGGAAGTGGAGTTCCAGGACCTGAACTGCACGTCAAGCACAGACCAGCGTGAGCCGGAGAAACAGAAACGGCGGCAGGGCTAGCGCGGGCAGGACTGCGACCAGCCCCACACCTCACCAACCATAAAAATCTCTTCTTGTGAGGCAGCCTCTCTTGTCTTCTCTTTTCCTCTTTACTACAATCCGGATCAAATTTACATCGACATATGTTTTTGGTCTGTATGGCGGCTCCGCTATGCGGCTTGCTGAGGGTTGTCCTGTTCTCCTTGGACTTTCTTCCGTTCCCGGCCTCCTAAAGTAAATCCTATGTGAACACCTTTCCTTATCAGCCGAGTATGACGACTCTTTCTGGTATTTGACTGTGGGGTGGTCTCAACATCCTTTTGTAAAGGAACCTGAATTATTAAAACGGAACCCGTAGTGCGGAACGTCTCGTTCGTGTTCCTACCGACCTGAAACCTGTGCGCAGAAGAGCCATATGGGCTAAGAGAGCCGCTGTTCCTCCACATGCCGATGCCTCGCAAAACCTGGTTAAACCACGGTCTTTTACCAGTTACCTCGTCAATTACGGAATCCTCCGTCTAAAACATCGGCCGGGGATCTCAGTAGTGACTTACGCGCACGACAGGCGGATCGATCTACAAACCGACGTCAAGATTTGCGCCTACGACGCTGTCGTGTGTTTGCACGGTTGCTGTCGGTTTAGGGACGGCGTCAGGCTGCTACCTTTCAATTCCTGAACCATAGAAGCAGAGGCCTCATACGACTGTCCAACACGAACGGTCATCCTCCGCCAAAACTGACATGGGAGCGAGCGGGTCCGTCTCTATGGCAGCTATTATCACGCCTTCAAGTTGTCAGACGTAGTTGGTGCCTCGGCCTCCGCGACCATTCTTCCAGACCAGGAATATGAGGACAATAGTTGTCAGCGCGAACCCGAACGTCACAAACTGCATAGCCTGGTCTGCGGTTGACTTCCTGCACCTCTCTAACAAGACATTTTCGGTCATGCCAGGTGCCAAATACCACTGTCCATCCTGCTTGAATTTTCCACCGTTGATGATATCGTTGTTCCCAATGGCTTTCCAATGCTTTTCGTCACATGCAACACCGTGTAACCCAATTGCGAAAGCCTGCCATGTTGTTAATAGCAAGTACATGGTATGATCATCGATGGACTTACTATACCACCGCCCAGGAGTAAGACCCCACTCAAGGCGTCCGCGGCTATCACTACGAGAGCCGGAATGGCGTCTATGAAAACAGCTACCAAGCCCAGCACGGCGACGGCTAATCCAAAGCCGCCAGTAAATGTGCTGTATTTGGTAGTCGTGGGAGCGTCGCCAATCTTCTGTCCCTTGACGAGGTCGATAGATAGCCCGAGGACAACGATAGCCATGATACCCTGAGGGACGCGCAGTGTTAGCTCAACTTAATTTCCAGGGTTTACTGAACGAGACGAGTGTATTATCGCAGACCTGAAGAGCCCAAACGCCCATGCTGATGAGGTTCAGCATCTTCTTAGCTGAAGACTATACTTCGTTTAGAATGTAAGTGACGTGCTTCTGCACGAATGATAATCTTTTTGCTATACGAGATATGATAATAATGCGAGGCAGACAACAAAAATCCGTAACGAAGAGTACGACAAAGTAAAAGGCGATAGATACCTCGCTTATATAGTATGCTCATTCAAAAACGAGGACAGCCCTTGGGTAACTGTGTCACTAGAAGCAGCAGGCAATCAACGACCAAAAATGATCTTTAATCGGTCCCAAGACGGCGCAGTAAGGCGTTTTTTGTTCTGCTCCCGTTTCTAAGTGACACATAGATGAATTTCCTGCATGTTTGCGCCGCTGGACGAGTCACAACGACTTCTCATCGGCTACTTGCATATCAGGCAGGCTGCTTTGCCAGCTTCTGCCCGGTACTACTCTCCAATCATCGTACTACAGGGCTCCCTCCCTCTCATTTTAGGGCATACAGTCTGGCTCAGGCCTGGGCCTCACAGGCTACAGCAGGCAACAAAAAAACCGAAGAGGCAGTGAGTCAGTTCCGAGACTGATCCTACAGAGTCTTGCCCTCGAGAGCATCGAATCAGGTTCCACCATACAAATGTAGTTCAGCAAGAATTGGTTCGGAAAGAAGTAGCCAAGGGAGTGGGCCACCGCTTCGCAAGAAAGAGCAGATACGACCTCGCTTTTGCTGGTATGACATGTTGTTGTTTGCCTGTCTAATTCTGGAAACACTATCTCGGGCGCCTACTCAGATCGTTACCTCACCTTGAGTGGACCCTCCCCATGCCAGTACCTGTGGGCACCGCCTTTACAGGCTGCTCCAGCTTCGGGGCAAATGAAGGATATTGGTGTATTACCTGACGTGCCAGCACCAGTGTAGTCGACTTTCTGGCGACTGCTGACTCATCACACGAAGGTTAAAAGAACTGCGGCGATGAGGTAAGCCGGAGAATCTGGACTTGAGCTTTCCGAAAGATGGCCGGATAAGTGGAGTCCATCTGAATGTGCCAATGCAACTGTATCCGTCACTTTCCACTGCCTTTCTGAACGCACGGGCCAAGTCGCGATTGGTCTGCCCAAATTTTTTCGACAGCTTCCATCATCGGCCTGCAAGCCCACATCTCCTGTCCACTGTCCAACTCCGATCCCCGGCTTCATTCATCCGCCACGTCCACAACCTTCACCATGTCGTCGCTTTGGGATACCCTTTCTGGTCGCAAGTCCTCTCAGAAGGACGCCGGTGCTTCCCAGTCTTCACCGGCCCCCGAACCTACAACCACCTTCCAGAACACCCCAGCACAGTTCGACCCTTCAGCAGGATCTGGCGTCGAGTCTTTCCTTCAGAGCTCATCCTTTGCCGACCCCGCGCAACTACACCCCCTCTCTGGACTGAACAAGGACACACTCGAATACCTTTCTCTCGAAGATGCGGCTCTGGCGGATGTCCCTGGCCAGTCTGCCCTCCCCTCCCGAGGCTTCACCGATGACCTTTGCTACGGAACGGGAGTCACATACTTGGCAGCCTTGTCGATAGGAGGAGCCTGGGGACTGCAAGAGGGTCTGAGGAGATCAGCCAACCAGCCGCCGAAGCTACGACTTAACTCAGTGCTTAACGCCGTCACTCGCCGTGGCCCCTTCCTGGGTAACTCCGCTGGTGTCGTTGCCATTACCTACAACTTTTTCAACGCGGGTATCGGCTACTTCAGGGGAAAGCACGACTCTGCCAACACGATCTTGGCTGGCGCTTTTAGTGGAATGGTTTTCAAGAGCACAAGGGGTGTGCGGCCCATGTTGATTTCCGGTGGTGTTGTGGCCTCCGTGGCCGGTGCCTGGGCTGTAAGTTGCCGCCTTCACAAGTATATTGGCGTCGCATATCTAATCGTTTTCGCAGGTTGTCCGCAGTACTTTCTTCTCTGCCCCCGAGCCTATTACTTCCGAGCATGCCACCTTGTAATTTACGACATAACCTGACGAATTGTCCCCGTTGAAACCCGCCAGTAATGATTATTCATTATGCCCATGGATCACGTTGGATCTGTGGACGATGATGCTCGCCATTGCGAGCTTCTTCTATCTGTTGTTTGAGTAAGGAAATTTAGAGCGCCTTAGAGGAGTCTTGGGCATTGTGACGGACGATCTCTCCTCAAGTGGACCCGTGTACAGTATTTAGGAAGGAGCATTAGAAGACCGCATCACTGGGTGGAAGTGGGCGTTCGGTACCTGTCAAAAAAAGAACAACATTACACGTTCCTTCTACGTCCAAGTGTCCTAGACGGTTGTTGCCATATTGGACTGGCCTGCCAGCCTGATGGCAATGGAAGAGACGTCCTGAGCAGCATCTAACTAGTACAGGCTCTCCTCAGGCTGCCGATCGCCTTTCATCGCTACCCCCATACCGCAGGAAAACATAAGCATGGAGATGCAGCAGGCTAGATACCATTTCTATTATGTCTGCTTCACCTGAAATCGCGTGATAGACTCGACGTGAAGTTATTTTTCACTATCAGCTACGGTCACGACCGCGGAAGATGAAGACATCCGCAACTCGCGACAAGCTTGATCGATCTTGAGCTGGACAATATACAAGCTAGAGCGAAGCATCTCGATCGCGCTACATCTGATATAGGTTCAATAGGGGTTCACGTATACAACGAAGTCGGTGGACAACGCTTTCTTCCCTACGATACCTCGTCGCCACTACCTAGAGAAACAAGCTATCTCCCCGAATCTCTCAGCGTCCGAGAACACGGTCTCCAACGATTCGGTCGTTGTCGTATGATGGGCTGGTGGTCTTGTACGAATGTTTGTCGCAGGAGATCGGCGAGACCGATGAGACCGACGATGCCTACGGTGCCTACGATTAAGCTCGCAGCGATGATGGTACTGAAGGTCTTAGTCCTCCAAGCGAGCTCGATGACATTGGAAACCACAAGCGGGCATTGCATCTCTTCCTGAGGAAAAGGTTCAAAAATATCCGTAACTTTCGTTGTGAAAAACCCTGCTGACTTCCATTTCTTAGATCCAGGAAGTTTCCCGAGTAAAAATGTTTTGCCTGAGTAATTCCTCTCTGATCGACAGCGAGTCCTCCCACGTCGTATTGATATACCTTGACAGGAATGGCGGCTCGATCCTCCAGAAGTCGTCCTGGCCGGTGTGGACCGACTTCGAAGCTTTCATCAAAACAATGTCTGTGTATGATTACGAGGCCACCATCAAACGGGGCGGTAGCGTGGAGAACATCAAGTAAACTTTCCTACAAAAAGTCGGCGACTTTATGATATCAAAGCCGGATCCGCATCCCCCCAAAATCGCCATCGCCAGGACGTATCCGACCTGGTTCAATCATCTTGGCACGATGAATGATACGTGGAGTTACGCGAGGATCGACGCCCAACAAAGTATTGACATTGCAGTGAACTAGAAGGCCTCGCATGACCTTGGTGGCAAAGATGCCTTTGATACGATGAATAGATTAGGAGAAGCAGAAGAAAATACAGTTGGCTTGGTCAAGGTAAGTCAGGCACATCGCGTTTCGGGTCGAAGACTTGGGATTAACCGCTCATTAGCTGTGGCAGCGCAAATCGATCAAGCAGCTGCCCGAAATCCTGCAACTGGTCGGCCAACCTTTGCTTGCGCCTCTGGCATCAATGTTCGCTGCAAACGGCTTCTTTCCTCATGACATTGACAGACTGTTGGAATCTTCTTTTGACGGAGGTATTGAAGACAATGATTGGCCTGAGGATTTCCGCTGATGGATTTTGCGCGTTGTTCTTGTTCGCTCGCCCCATGGTAGCTCAGCCACGTGTTGACGCGAGTATCGATTGTGCTTCGGAGTTGGATATTCGTATGTCTTGGCCAGTTTGGCACCTGCGTTTCTGTCTTTTTATATTGCCGTGAGGCTCACATTGATAATTAATGAACTGCGTTGTCGCATTGCATCCGCTATGTACCCGATATCAATTCCAAGGAAGATGCGGTCTTCTTTCAATATCAAGGCATGCAAAAGGGCCAGATTTATCATCAGTGATTACCATCCCAAGCGCCATTCGAGATCAAGGACCTAGAAACCGCCTCTGGAACGAACCTGTCGCAATCGATTGCTGCTTAAAACCCCACTCCCGACTGACTTCATCTTTCACTCCTACCACCACCGTCCTCGGACCCGAATCCTCAAGCAACATTATTGCACACTATTCGAATCTTCCCGACTGCTCGTCTTCCAGGCAACGTCAACATGTGCGGATTTTGGCCTTTCTCGAAGGCACACTACGACAACGAGGATCCGCCACTTGTCTATCGCCTTGGCTGGGATGGCCAGAGATACGCTATAGATGTTGTAAGTAGAATGTCTCTTGGATACCTTTTGCTTTCTTTACCCTCTCTTGCAATCCCAACCATTGCCGTTATTTCCCTCCGTTTTTCTAGTAAGCCCCCGGAAGATCATGCAATGACCTGCCCCCTTTTCTTGTCTTTCGGCCTCAGAGACAAAGAGCCGGCCAAGACATCACTGGAGCGGGTCATTGGTATACCAAAAGCTTCAAGCCGCAGTGGATCTTCATGCGGCTGGGTGAAGAGATCTGGCTGAGTTCTCGCCTTGGACCGCTCTTCAGATCTCTTCTCCTTCACATCTCTTTGATCAGCCTCATTTTCTATCAATTCACCCAAGACTGTGATGAGGTGAGAAGTCTCAGGTCATCAAAGCCCTCCATCGATAAAGGAGTCTCGTCTCCTGGCATTTGGTCTCTACCCCTGGATTTCCGAGTTTGATACACCAATCGAAACAAAAACGACCTCGATACTCTAGAAACAAGGATTCGGCGTCGAGTTCAATATATAATCGAGTCCAGCAAATCCGCCATGAAGTCTCCCAAGAGCAAGTCGACTGCCAATACCACCGGCCCGCGGCAGGTGCGCTTCACGGAGGACCGCAGCAACCCAGGTGCCTCCTTCCCCGTTACCCAGGGAACCGACACCTCGACCGCTCCTGCCTTCAATACCCACGAAAGCGACGTGGGTGAAGACAGCGGTGTTTTCCTCCACACCTCAACCAATCCCTCTGCCTCAGTCAATCTTGGCCATCACTTTCCTCCCACACCCTTCGGTCAGGCTGCTCACCCACACCTCAACCCTTTCATACCCTCCACCTTGCACCCCGCCTACATCTCCGAGACCAACTCGTTCGCGCCTTTCGGTAAATTCAACCCGTACGGACTTACCGCGCCTCCCTACGTCAACATGGCCGACTACCAGAACGTCGCTCCGCCTACTAGTGGCCTTCACTTCCAGCCGCCGGTTCCCGACACCACCTACGGCCCCATGCAGCACGTTTACGTGCCTCGCTTCGACAACGGAATGCCTCCAGTCTATCACGTCGGTCTCCCTCATGCTCAGGCTCTGCCAGTGGCCTCTTTTGTTGCCCCGAAGCCTACTCCAGTTCTGCTTGGCGCACCTCTTGTTGTTGTTCATTATTATGCAAGTGCCCAGCGCACATACGCTGCGATTGCTTCCTGAGCCGAGCGGCTTGTGTGATTCATCGGGCACCTGGATTTCTTTGCTTCATCTAGCCGCCTCATTTTCATCTCACTAAGCTCACCCAAGGTTTCGAGAAATAGTTTGCTGACTTGAGATTGTAGCAGTCCCCCACCAACAACATCACCTACATTGGCCAGGCCCCCCCTCAGCCTCCCATCATCATGGCCCAACAGCCTGCTATGCACGCGGGCATGAGCATGCACCCTCCGATCATGCTTCAGGCTCCTCCCGCCGGTTTTAGTGGCCCTCCCATGTTCCAGGGTGCCCACATGGGTATGAATATGCCTCCCAACATGGGCGGAGGTGGAATGCCCGTCTTCCCAGGTAATACCAATCTTCCTCCGGACGTCACTGGATATGGCAAGACCGCTGGAGAGGTCGCCATGGAGCAGGCCCAGTTTGCCTATTCCAATGGTCTCTTCGAGCCCCAGGACTTCAAGCCTGCGGACGATGACCCATCCCGCTACTATCCCGTTCGAGAGGTTGATGGTAACTGGACCCAGCGCAATCGTTTCACTATTGACAACCTTGGCGATTGCCGTTGGTATGTCACCAACGAGGGCTACTTCTACGCCGTCCGTTTGCCCAACTGAAGTATTCCTTCATCATAGGTATTTCACCTCAATTAGAAGGAAACGAGATGAATTGCTAACGTTCCAAACAGCGTCAACGGGCAGCGAGATGATTTGGAAGATCTTGGGGTGAATGATGAAACGGAGAAGATGCCCTCGTGAGTATGCGAAAAGGAATGAGGAGGCCCCCATGTCTGATCATAGCAGATGATTCAACTTTCCGGCAACTTGCCCTTCAGACCCCTCTAATCCGTCATTGGCCCTCAGACCGTCAGGTAAGGCATGCAATCTATGGCAAAGCTACAACAACTGACAAGATATTAGGACGATCATTAGAGCAGATAATCTGTCTGCTTTAAGGAGTTGTCCACGTCATTCGCCCAAGGACAATACGGATACCAGATTGGGCTGAATGGGATGAAAGGGAGAGGAGGATAAAGTCAATGGTTTCCTATGTCGACATGCCAGAGAATGCTCTCGCCCAGGCCGCCAAAGTTGCGGTTAAGGTCGAAATTGGAGGCAGCTTTCAATGCGTGGCTTGGAAGTAGACCAATATTTCTATTCCTGGGGTCGTTTGACGATGGCTCGGAAGAGGGTGGATGCCTCAACCTGAACCTAGGTAGATTGCGAATCCCATAAGAGTGATTTCGAGACGCCACATTTGCCTGATTATTTTGCATGCGTGAAAACTCAAAGCGATACGAATGAGTGGGTTTATTTAGCTGTAAAGAAGTCTGTAAGGTATGATTGAGCGTGACAGGGAATTTTTTCTCTCTGAATTTGAGATCATGATGTCCAAAGAGAATTGGAGCCTTTCTTTTTTGCCTACTATTATTTGTACTCTTATTGGATGATTGGCATGTGATTTACTTTCAGAGTCCAGTAGTACTGGCTACCTAAAGTAGGTGATTTACTTTGGGCAGGTACAGAAGTCGGGCAGTTCCTTCCAATGCGGGCGAGGTAGTCACTCTGACCTGGCTTCACCTACCTTCGTATTCAGGATTCACCTCCTTTTGCATCCAATGAACCCATCAATGCAGAGATACCACCCCAATTCTGTGCTTTCCCTTCCTGAAAGTTCTCTAGAAAGAAACTAGTCGAAGGCGGATTCCGCAATATTCGTTGACGATCGGGCTGCATCCACAGTACAGAACCTCCCACTGACAGCATCTCGGTAGTCAACCTCCACCATGACGCGTAACGCCCGCAGCTCTACTCTCTGCGAGTGGGCCCTTGGCGTCAGCGTCGAGGAATACTGCAACTCTATTGAAAGGCGCAGACGCAAGAAGTCCAGCAGCAGACAGCGGATCTGCGTCGAGATTTCCACCGACGACGAATCCGAGGAGGATACGGTCAAGATCACATACCCGCGCGCCAATCGCAGCAAGGACTCTTCGGGACCCGGCTCCAAGAAGGTCCGTTTTGAACAGGCCTCGTCAAAGCCTGCGCTGAAGGCTGTGGACGCAGAAGCTAAGTCCAAAGGTGATACCAACATCCAGTGCGGGCATGAGTATCGAAATTCATCAGGAGAAGACGAAACTAACCACGGAGGAAGCAGACATGAAGAAATCGGAGAAGACAGATGACACATCCGAATCTGAGTCGGAAGCTAAGTCGAAGAAGAAGAAGAGAGGTGCCAAGGCAGCTATGAAGAAGGTAGTGGATTCTTCGTCCGAAAGTGAGACAGATGAGACTGAGGAGGAGACGCCGGCACCTCTCAAGAAGAAGAGACAAGAAAAGACGAAGGACAATGTCAAAAAGTCATCTAAGACGAAGGAAAGCGCCGTTCCAGCCGATACCGAGCCCAACAACGTCGGTCCTACAGTCAAGAAAGCCCGAAGCAAGAATGGAGGAGGGAAGACGAACGAGACCAAGAAAGTCGACAAGCCTCAGAAAGTAATGCCCAAGGCGGCGTTGTCTCCTCACCTACGCCGACCCAATCTCATAATGCCCATTCGCGCGGAGGTCATTCAAGTTGAGCATACCATTGAGGGCGTCGAAGATCCTCGACCCAACGCATTCCACGACCCTCAGCACGGCGTTGTCCGAGTCTATCATGGACCAGCCTACGGCAATCCTTACGGCTTGCTCTATCCTGCTCGCGATCCAAACAATGCTCCTTTGCCGATGGGCGTCCCCCATCCTCTGCAGAACCCCTATTTTTACGGTTTCGCCAATCCCTCAAACCCCGGAGACAACCACTTCAAGGGCCAGTCTCCCTGGGGCTCTATGCCCGTCACTTGTATGCCTGGAGGACCGCCAGTCATGGCAGCAGTCGACCCGATGCAGATGGGAATGCAGATGCCGCCGTGGTGGGGTCCCTCGTCTCCTAAAGGTCTTTCTCCAAAGGGATCTCCGAAGCATGTTATGTCGGGGGCCATTCCAGCAGACGCAGCATCGACGACAGGTGCCAAGAATAAGGAACAAGGATGGGATACCAACGTTGGTCCTCAACAAACCAAGGCTGCTTCGCCTCTGGCAAAGGTAGCGAGTCCCAATAACGTGGCTCCTGCTTCTCCTATCAACATCAATTTGACAGTGAATCCAAATACACCATGGGCTGCATTTGCTAGCGACCTCAGCAAAAAGTCTACTCCTAACAAAAATGGATCGCAAAATGGAAGCAAAAATTCCTGGGGATCGAAGAAGAGCACAGACTGGCAGCCCCTGGGCAGTGGCCAGCATCCTGATCTTGCTTGGGGCAACACTCCCACAAAAAGCCAGGGAAGCAACAATTGGAGCAACAAGGGAAGTAACAAGGGAAGCAACTCGGGCTGGACGAAGATTGGGGATGCGAACAATGATTCTTGGGGAGCGACTGGAGGCAGTGGAAGCAATAGTGGGTGGAACACCACGAATACTGCTCAGGCCAATGATGCTTGGGGAACACCCGGCAACACTCAAAGCAACGATGCCCAGACAACTTCTGGTGGCGACGGCTGGACGGCGATGAATGGTAACACTTGGGACAATACCGACAATACGAATAAGGATGGATGGGGAACCTCCAATGACCAGTCAGCCGATGCCTGGGCTAAGTCTGGAGGCGACTACAGCAACAACTGGGGAACCGGATCGAATCATTCCAACTCGAAGAAGTCAAATAAAAGCCAAAATGGCAATGGAAGCAATCGAGGCACTAGCGGTCAAGCCAAGGCTGCTACGGACTGGGATGGCCAGGGAAACAATGTTGGCTACTCAGGATCGGAGCGTAAAGTGTCAAACAACTCGAACAAGTCTAGCAAGTCGAAGAAGACTTCACCACCGCCGCCCTCAACCAATGCTGGCTGGGACAACAACGCTGGGCCTTCGACCAACAGTCCCGTTGGTAACTCATCCAACAAGGGCAACGGAAATGAGAAGAGCTCAAGGAATGCGTCCAAGGGCGATGCGTGGGCGACTGCCAGCAACTCGGCCTGGACTACATACAACAACGCTGGCCCAACGACCAACAATAGCCCCCACAATTCCCACTCGTCGAAGAAGAGCTCGGGAAGCAAGAGGGAAAAGACTGATCAATGGGTTTCGGCTGGCGGCGGTGCCGGATGGGGCCCCGAGACCACGAGCGGCGAAGTCAACTACGGCCCGACGGCGACCGAGATGAGTAAGACTTCGAGCAGCAGCAAGAGTATGCCAGGCGCCTGGGACACCAACGTCCCTCCTTGGGGAGATCCGACTTTGGCGCAATCGACAGGCGGTGCGGCAGACCAATGGTAGAGGTGATTATGGCGAAGCCGAGCTCAGGGGGAGCTCTTGAATGATACCGCAGCAGTAGAAGCGGAAGGGTGGTCGGCTGGCGGGAGGTATTTGACAGCAGCTGGTAGAATTTTTTGGAACCGACAGATCTTGGTGATCTGCACATATTGGGGCGTTTTCCCCAATAAGGAGGTTGTGGACTTTGGCGAATGCATTATTTGACAATGACTTGGGAGGGGAAGGGGGGGAGTCTGCGGGTTGAAGAGACATTGAGTTTTACGAGCCTAGACTGTTTTACCCGCACGGGAGGCGCGCGGGGCGTTGCAGCTTTCACCCGAGTTCTACATCAGCTGGAGGACAAAAAGCTTGGCACCAGAAATTGACGTAGATAGATCAAGAAACATTGAAACAAAGGTGCCGGTCAAAGAGTGAGAGTGGATGATTTGCCAATGGCTGCAGTCTACAAGATGTGTGCTACCTAAGTACCGACATCCCGTCCACCGACGAGAGATGTTCCAGGTTAAGGGAAACGCTCAGTCGCCGAATGGAGATGGGAACCGAGGGGAAAGAAAACGAGCGGACTGTTCTGGCAACGCTGCCCAGAAAAGATATGCGAATTCAAAGTTAATGTTGGGCACGAAAAGTCATTGACTCCGAAATGCCAATGACGTCTCCCAATTTCTCCGTCAGATGCGCATTTACTCGTCCTCCTCGCTAGACTCCTCCTCCGAGGCCTCCTCGAGCCACTTGATGAAGGGCTCGGCGGCCTTGCGGACCTTCTTGGAGGTGGCCAGGTCGGTGTACTTCTTGCTGGCCTTGGTACCCCACTTGACGGCGACCTCCTCGCTGAGGAGATCGTGGTTGTAGTACAACTGGAGGATCTTGACAACTTTGTCAAAGATGTCGGGGTGCTCCTTGGCGAGCTGGCCAATGAGGCGCTCAGTACCACCGAGGAGAGCCTTCTCGTGGCGCTCAGAGGTAACAAACTAGGAGATGAAGTGAGTCAAGGGGTCATGAGCCATTGGTCCAAACGATGTGAACATACCTGCTTCATCATGCCGGCGCGCTTGGGGATCTGGGCGAGAATGTTCTCGTCGAAGATGGTCTGCACCAGAACCAAAACGGAGCGGTGCTTGGTCTCGATACCAAGCTCCTTGGCCTTGACAAAGATGTCAATCGAGTCGACCTTGTCGACACTGCCCTTAGCAGTGGCCTCGTCCTGGATCCAGGTGCCAAACTCGTCGTAGACGGTGCTGCCAGAGGCCTCGCCATCCTCGTCTTCGTCATCGCCCATGTTGAGCTTCTGCTTGAACTCGCCGGGGAGCTGAGCCTGACGGGCCTTGACGGCCTCCTCGCTCATGTCGACGGCCCACTCGTGCTCCTGGGTCTCAAACTGGTCAATCTCGGGAGCCTCCTTCTTCATCTTCTCCAACTCGTCATCACTACCAACATCCTGGTCGTCGGCGTCGTTGGAGCCGTTGTCGGATCCTTCTCCGCCGCTTCCGCTTCCCTGTCCGTTCTCCTTGGTACCGTTGGCCTTCGCGCGGCGGGCAGCCTTGCGCTCGGCCTTGTCCTTCTTGCCCTTCTTCGGCTGGTTCTTCAGGATATAACCGCTAAGCTTCAGACGGAGGTCGACCTCGGAACGCTGACCACAGGCCTTGCAGTCGAGGAGGATGCGACCGTCTTTGATGTTGACGTCGGTCTCGGGGTTCTTGCACTTCTTGCAGAGAACGAAACGGTTGATGAAGCCATCGAGGTGGTCTTGCAGCTTAGCGGCGTTGTGGGAACCGTTGATAATCCAGCGGTCGTCGGCGGGGTCAACGTTGGTCTGGGCACCGAGCTCGAAGCCGAAGTACTTGATGACATAGGCACCGGGACGGGCGAGAGACTGGGCGACGCTGCTCAAGTTGACGACAACGGTCTTGATACCGTTGCCCTTGCCCTCAATCTTGGTGACGATCTTTTCCATCTTGTAGCGATAGAAAGCGTCCTTGACGTCGCGACGAACGTTGATGAGGGAAGCCATGATTGCGATATTGGTAGTAGGTGGACTGAAGAAGAGTCTTGGAAGAGTATTTTTGATTTAGGAGGGTTGATTGGATCTGGAGTTAAAAGGCTCGGGATGCGAAGCTGGTAGTGCTGTCGTTTGGACGGGCGGGTAGCATGAAGAAGCCGGAGGTCGTGATAGTATAGGATCGACTGATTGGCGAGGAAGCTGGTAAGGGAGCAAGAAGGCGGACTCAATGCTCAAGGGTTCTTTTGATGAACATAGGGTAAAGCGAGACTAGATCGTCTTTGCTGTCGAGAATTCATGAACTCCTCTGGGTTCGGAGATTTCAGCCAACGGAACTGATGTTGGGGCTACAAGGTTTCGCTATGCGAAATGATTGCAGCTTGGGGACGAAGTGTCTGAAGACGGTGGTATTGTCGTGCTGATACATAAACTGCTATGTGGCTTGTACCGCGTGAGGGTGGTGTTGTATGTTCAACTCTCGCGGAAGAAGACTCGGTGGTCGGGAACGCGGCGAGAGAGGATGCTACTGGCGATTGTTGACGATACTGTGGTTGTTTATGGCGAGGTGTTGGGTGGTGGTGGTGGAAAGTGGCGACGTTCTCAGGAGAGAGAGGGGTGGAGGTGGGAAGAGGTTTTGTACGCTTTGGAAGATTTTACCGCGGAGGACGCGAGGATGCAGAGATGCCTAAGCAGGGCGGTGAACTGCGATTGCGAAAAGGTGGGTTTAAGATAATTGCGAGATGTGCTCGAATGGATCTCCGAGCGGAGGGTTTTGTGCGTTTTTTTTCTTGTGGGTGGTGGGAAGAGGAGAAAACGGAGATGACTGGGCAGTGAGCGCAGAGTTTTGGAAAAGGCTGAGGTGGAGTCGGAGGTGGTGGCCTTCTTGGTGGTAGTACGGAGTAGAGGTGGCGGCGGCAGGACAGGAAGTTCGGAAACACATGAAAAGTCCCAGAAAGAAATGCCTAGAATGAAAATACAAATCCCTAGGAATAATAAAGTGGACCTCCCTTAGAGCGCTTGCCTACGAATTCATCGCCTCCCCAGCACCTCCTTCACTAAGGCGCCCCCCCAAAGGACACTCAAGGTTTGGGCGCTGGGGGCGGCGGGGAATCTGGCGGGCTGGCTGGCCCTTGCCTCGTGCCTGTCAGAGTTGCGCCACCACTCAAAGAACCCCCTGGAGCCGTTCTGTCAGACATGGACCTCAGAACAACCAGCGAGCCTTAAATCCGAGTTTGAGGTTGTCGTTCGCTCGTTCGCCTGCCCCGCGGCACCACCGGGCCAGTCCAGTGTCCAGGATGCAACACGCAGCTGGGCAGCCAGTTCCACTTGCTGCCTTGCGTGTTTCCCGACCTTTCTTTGAACTTTGGCCTCAATTTTTTTCGTTGCTGTGCTATGTGTCGTCTTACATCATGGCACCCAAAGTAGGCATTTGGATATTACAAGGCATCGAGACAACAGCGACCCCAATTATCTTGCCTTCTCTTCCTCTCTCTGTGCTCTTTGCACCCTCAAGAGTGTTTCATACTCGTTTGTTTCTCTCATGATTATTTCAACACCTCCTGCCTTCATCAGGCAATACTTGAGACAGCGAAGGGATGGGAAAGCCTAAAGGCCTGGCGCCGTTTCCTGGTTCCATTGGCATTTTAAAGGGGGAAACCCGCGACGGCTCCGCGCCGGGCACGGGCCAATCAACGGTCTTTCCCGCTTTTCGAGAAAGCGCAATTCGCACCGCAATTGTGCGGGAAAGGTCAAGGAAGCTTTCCAAAGGATCCGGGGCAGCACGTAGCAGCGCAAGCAGAGGGACGGGCAACATAAAACTAAAAATAAGCGACAAAAGAGAATACCTAGCCGAGTAGGCACACCTAACATGGGTTTTAGGAATTCCCCGTTTCGCCATCAGGTGGATCCAGTCTCTGCAGCATGCAGCCTACCGTTCGCCATTGCTTTTGCTCGCTCGCCTCGCCTAACGCCGGCTCACAAAGCCGAGCCAGTCGTTGCCATGCAAGTCATCACTCGACTTGCAGTTTGCCTTGGCCAAGCAAGCTATGGATGGATGTATTCAAAAAGCAGGGCAGTTGGCAGCGGAAAGCCTGGCTTGTCCACGTATGCAGTAAATGTGTGTGGTCCCAGTGAACTCCCAAGCAAGACCACACAGGGACGCTACACAACGACGTACATACATTCATGAATCACCACGAAATCTTTCTGGCACGATGTGACTTGGTATTGGCCCTCTAGGTCTATAGGGACCATGCCTACCCAACCACATTTGCCAAGCTGTCTCGTTTATCGAGGCACGTTTTTTTTTTTACTGATTCAGCATTCCTGCCCCAGAACCCAGATGCCACAAACGCTACCTACCCGTGCTCCAGTACCGGAATGATCAAACACTCACAGAAACGCCCAGACGCGATGTGCCAACAATGCCGTCCATACCCTTCGCGCCAAATGCAACACACACTATGCAACCTTTGAAATCCTCCCGTTCCTCCCATCGAGAACCCCATCATTCCCGCTTCTCGCCAACGGGAACAAACTGCAGCAAACACTTTTGCCCTAGGGGTCGCGAGGAGATGAGCTGGTCCGACATGGCCATCGACTCTTCCGCCATTGACGTCTCAGGAAGCGTCGTGTAACGGGTGTAAATATCCGTCAACAGAGTCTTCATCTCGGCGAGCGCCAGACTTGGTGGTGCTTTGTTAGCAGATGGGATCTCATTGTGGATGGATTATGGGGGTTACTCACTGCTTGCCAACACATCCCCGGCCTCCGTTGGCAAACGCAAACATGAGCCGCTTCCTCTCAGCGTCACCCGTTGGCTCCATCCACCGATCAGGGTTGAACAAGTCTGGCTCCGGGAACACTTCCTCGTTGATGCGGTGAATGGAATACGCCTGGCAGCTGACTGTAGTCTTCCCCGGGATGGCATACCCGTCAATCACCCGCCCGCCCTGGGGCACATAACGCGGCAGGGACATCGGGATAGCTGGGAAGCACCGCAACCCTTCCTGCACAATGGCATCGAGGAACGGCAACTTGTCGAACGCGACCCCCGGGTTCTCCCTCAGCTCGCGTCGCAGCGTCTCCTGAAAACGCAGCGACCGCGGCTGCGAGAGCTCCCACATGAGAAAGCACAGCCCGTCGCCCGTCGTGTCGATGCCTGCCGCCATGTGGTCGAGGCACTCGCCCGCCACGTCGAGCTGGTCCAGTCCCTGGCCCGCCTTGTCGTGGAGCCGGCTCAGGAGCGTGAAGGCCGCCGGGTCGGGCTTTTTGCTGGACTCGATGACAAAGGTGTCGGCGAGGGGCGTCTCGCGGGGCTTGGCGAAGAAGTACAGGAATCGAGAGAGGAGCTTGTGCAGCGCGGGACTATAGTGCTGAACAAGGCGGTCTGTGTTATCGTCAGTCTACCTTGGGTACATTCAGCAGGCATGTTGGGCTGTGTACTCACTTTGCAGGCTGTCGTCAGCAGCAACCTGGTGCATCATTTCCTCGTCCGCCTCGTCCTCGAGGCAATTACTGCCGTACGGATGGAACAGGTGATGTGTGACGCAATCACAGGCGTATGAGTGAAGACTCATCTGCAAACGCAGTCAGGCAACCGTCCAGAGAGTTGAAACGGGGTCTACGTACGAATATGTCGTGGCTCTTGCCAACGGACTTCTCGCACAACTTGATAAACTTTTGTGACCTCTCCTGAATTCCGCCTAGAGGTACAGGTCGCAGGACGTTACTGTTTGCGTAGCGGTCCGCAATTATTCTCTTGCGCTTCGCATGCTAGAACAAATGTTGTAAGTTGCTATTCTACCCCAGACTGGAGTTTCATCCGGGGGGGCTTTACATCTTCCTTGTTCAACGTTGTGAACATAGTCCTAGTACTGTAAGCTTTCTGCTTTACCCAACCAACATAAGTTTGCCTTCCATACCTTCGTCCATAGACTTTGAACAAGTCATAAAACTCCGTCTTGTCATAACCGCTGCCTCCAGAGCAGTAAATTTCTTTGACGGCTTCGTACGATGTAAATGAGACCTCGTCTGGTGCGACTCGGACAACCGGTCCATATTGCTGGTGGAGCGCATGGATGTACTTCGTCCTGGTTGCTTGTAGTTCATGCCATTTCAGAATGAGGGAAGTGAAGGCGGATATCCTCGGGCCGGGAACTTTCCACAACGGGGACAGGACGCAGCGAATGACATACGTCAAAGCTAGGACAGAGAATGCTGCTCCCAAAAAGACGGGAGAAAGGAGTAACATGTCGCAGGCCTTTCACTATTACACCATGATACGTACGTAGTTGTTCTGAAAAGTGGCAAAATGAGTCAAAGGTTCGGGGCGTAAGGTAGGTCTCTCGAATCATGGGTGACGCCGGTTCCTCTTATCAGCTCCGTTCCGGGCCCCGATAGCGTTGGTCAATCAGAGGGTTTCGATTCGTAAATGACCAGTCGAGCGCCGGCGCCGATAGGGTGCTTTAGCCCGAGAACGGGGCGGTCTGGCAAGCGCAACCTACTGAGGGACCCCAAATGAGACGTGAGGGGCAGGGCGTCAACACTGATTACCCCTCCATAACTCGACAGCCTGTGAGGAAAGGCTCGACATGGATGCGTCGGGAAAGACTTCACAAGGTATTCTCGTGAAGCAGGAATTCGGTACGGTATCAGATATTTGATTTTCAACTCATGTTTTTCTACGCCATCACCGCCGGGGTCCAACATCACCTCGTGAGACGCACAACGCCTCGCCGATCGCCACCTCGTACTAATACACCCGGTTCAAAACTCGCCCACCAAGCAAACCTCGAAGCAAGACTCAAAAAAGTGCAGGTAAACTCCCCTCCTCCATCTCTCACAGCTCTCCCTTAGTGCCCTGCTTCGACTTGTCATTCGAATTGCCCCCAAACAAGCCGGTCAACCAAGACATACCGGGAATCGACACAGTGCCTGCCGGGGGATACTCCTTGCCGTTGACGGTGACCTTGGGCGTGCAGGTGCACCACTGTTCCTCGGGGACGCTGCTCAGCGCCGACGGGATGTGTTGGCCGCAGCCCCGCCAGGTTGCCTTTGCTATTGGATACTTTTAGTTTTCATGAAACTACACGGAATGTTACGAGACTGGGGTTGTCGTCTTACAGCAAGTCGAGCAGGTGACTCCGAAGCACATTGTGGATGAAAGTAAAGGTGTTGGTGAAAGGGAGATGTCGGTGCGGGTATCAAGTTCAAAGGGTCGACAGTATGTTGTGTACGAGTTGATCCGAACGAAGCTGGAAGTCAAGATGGTGTTTTGAGATAGTCTTTTTGAATGTTGACCAATGTGATAAGGGCTGGTCTAGCTACGAGCTCACCTGGGATTAAGTATTCGCGGTGTCCGTGATAGCATAATCCACCCACTTGGGGTCGGCGACCTGCATTGAGCATCGTCACGGGCGCAGTGACCCCGATGAAGTGGGTCTCGGAGGGGTATCGCCGACCTCGCTCCCTATTCCGGGGAAGTGGGGTGCTGTCAATGGAACTCGGGCTTGCTCACATAAGGCACTTTGGAAGCTTCCGACCGAGCTGAGACCGGTATTTGTTTAGTCATCTCGTGTAACACGTTCGAACCAATCTCGGGAATGTTGCTCGTTAAATGTATTTGGCCATGAATGAAGACAAATATCCCCTCTCAACTAAGGTAAGGTATGCTGAGGCTCATGCGGTCCGTCCCGAGTCTGACTTCATACTTGCTGGATGAACTGAGCCACACGTTCTGCAAGCCACTGCTGGGATTCCAGGTTCTTCACAGTGTGGCTTGCTCCGGGAATCAAGCCAGACAGCTCGTGGACATTGGAGTTTGTCTTCTTCCACAGGTCGATCAAAGCTTGCTTATCGATTTTGGCTGGCACGAACTCATCCTCTGCAGAGTGTAGCACCATGACGGGCTGCTGGAAACGATTCCAGACCTCGGAGACGAACGACTCTTTGAGGTCGGAGGAGAAGTAATCATCGTCGCCCCTGTGATGAATATCAGTATTTCATTCACCTCACCCCGGAGATGGAGTATCATAGCTACTTACCCCTTAGCCGCCAGAGAGTGCCAACGGTAGGCCGTCATAGGTGTCGAGAAAAAGCTTGGTACTAGATCTTTGGGCATCGCTTCGGCCTCCTTTCCAGTGGAAATCAGCCCCTCTGCGTGCTCTAGGCTCTTCTTCAACCAGTCAGGTTTGACAAAGTCTTCAATAGACTCCCGGTCAGATGCAGGACCTTGCATGATGAAGCCATCGACAGGGTCCTCCTTGTGCTTGGTATACTCCATACAGTCCTACCAAGGTTAGTTGGGTCCTGTAAATGTTCGAGGCTACTACAACGGTATACCTGGCATCCAGTTGAGTGGCCCATAAGGACAATCTTTTTCTTTCCGATACCTCGGAGATACCTCACCAGCGCCGAGATATCCTCAACATCGTTCTTCAAGCTCGAAAAGCCGTAGCCAGAAAAGGAGCTCCTCATCCGAATCTCAAACACAGACCAGTCTTGTGCCGCTGTCTCAAGATGCTTGGCTATGGCCTTGGTGTAGCCAACAGTATGAGGTCCATCTGCGAGGCCTCCTATGAAGAGAAGGGCGTTTGATGCTCCAGATGGGCCGATCTCATAAGCGCTAGAGTGGGAGGTTCGGGAATCGAAAGGATGCACCGTGCAAGAGAAAGGAGCCGGGGCCATGGCGAGTTACTGAGGCCCTTTCGGACAAAGACAGGCTGTTCGTCAAGATTCGGTCGTAGTTTCAGCGGAAGGCTCCTTTCGTGACTGCTGATCAGAAATTCAGAGAGTCTTGCGATGTTGTTGCGTCCTCAAATGAATTATTGAAATTGACGTAACCTAGTGGAGGGGGAAGCGCTCTGGTGGGGGCTGCTCTGATGTGCTGTTGCGGGGCTGCCAGCTTCCCTTTTAGCGAGCCAAAACCACCAAAGGCCCTGAACAATCGGCTGTTAGTGGGGCTCATCACCGAGGGACGTCGAAAGGAAGCCACCCGATTGGGCCTACTTTAGGAAGGTATGTACTTCGTACCGTCAATCTTTCTCAGGATAGGTAGTCATCTCAGGCAGGCGTTTCCTCCGTCAAAGTTGGGTTGCGAAGTGAACGACAGAGCCTCCACATTCAACTACCAGTAGACACGCGAATCCTCACCACTCTCTCTTCAATATCACGCCAGTCATATTCTCGAAAACCGCGACGATAGGCTTTTCTAGATCAGATACGTCTCCGCCGTTAAGTTACGCGCCGCTGGAGGCTGGCGTGGAATACCTGCCCTCTGCCTCGTAATGGCGACCAGTCCCGCCAATGCAAACCCAGCCCGGAATGAGTTCTTTCAGCAGGTTCGTATACCTTGGGACGTATAGATCATATGCTGACCAATTCAATCAGCTCAAACCATGCTGTGTCTCAATTAGTCAGCTAGCAATCCGACAACAAGGAGATTCGTCCTCCTTCAAACGACTCTCCGAGTTGACTGACGAGTTGTACCACATTCTCAACGACCAAGTCAATAGAGATGCCAACGTTCTGGATTCAAAGCTTGCCGACTACGTCTTTTTCCCGCTCTCTCATGTCTTCCGCAGTCACGATCAATACCCCAAGCGCCTAATCGAGCTCGCCATCAAGTGCCTTACCGTTATCATTATTCACGGCTGGAAGTCCAACATCTCGCCCCAGATCTTGCAGCAGCTCCTGATACTTCTCACTTTCATCGTTGGAGGAGTACCTGGCCGCGAGAGAGAGCACAATGTGCCCGAGGAAACCGAGCTTGAATCGCTTAGAGCATTAACTGCCTTGCTTACTGTGGCTGGAACGTCCAGCACAGCAGCAACAGCTCTGACCGAGGAGAGATTGGTGCCAACTCTGGGCCATACCATCACGGTAATTCTGGGATGCGTAGCGGATGGAAGAACGTCAGCTATTCAGCTCGAAGCTCTGCGTATCCTGAACTGCTTCTACACGAGCATCAAGGACCATGCCGCACTTGCGTCGTTCATTCCGGGCATCGTCTCTAGCCTGACAAAACTTCTTTCCAAACCCCAGGGAGAGAAGACGCGCGTCTTGGTCGGTTCCATACAGTCGTTGGGACTGGTGCTAGTAAAAGTTCTTGGCGATGTCAGGACCCGGAGCATCATCGCAAGACTGAACTCGGATACTCCACCGGAGGCCGAACAAGGGGGTGTACTGAGCCTATCATGGCTCAACGCGACAAAATCACAGATCAAGCTGGCTTTGGCAACAGTCTTGAAACTCCGAATAAGCGATAATACAGACGTACGCGAGGCGCTGCTGGCATTCTGTCTTGGACTTCTCGACGAATGTCACACCTCCCTGGAAAATTGCTCTTCCGTACTGGTGGAGACAGCCATGGTCATCTCACCAACACATCCAACGACGTCTTTGACCGGTACAAGTCTGCAAGATTTGGCCATCATATATCCTGAACTTGGCGAGACCGTGAAGGTCACATGTTACAATTGGATCACCAGCTTGCCCAGGATCATGCAGTCTGCCGACGAAAGCAAGAAACAGGCCGCCGTCCAGAATTTGATGAAGGGTATGGCTCTTGTCAGTAGCCTTCAGTTGGATTCTTCACTATTGGACGAGTCAATAGCGGCGGCTCTAAGGGACAGTGTCACATCTCTCATAACCGGAGCGAAGCCTAGCAAGATCCTGGATGAAACAACGCCGGACGCTTCATGGTACAACCAAGATATTGTGAGAATAGGAGACACTCCAAAACAATATTCAAATGTGCTGTTGGGCGAGGAGAGTCAGACTGGAACAAGGTCAGCTATGATTGACTTGCTTTCCAACGTCGGGCCAGCCTCGCAGCAGACCAGGCTTGCTGCCGAAATGCTGGATCACGCCAGGGACTCGTCAGGCGATTCTCAGATAGCCTCTTTCTGGCTGAGCTTTGAACTCCTCAAGACCGCCTTTTCTCGTTCCAACGAGCTCGACGATCTCCTGGACTTCTCTTCACTGGGTTCTGGGGGCGAGTGTTCCGAATCCACCTTTCAGGAATTGTATGCATTCGCCGTCGTTTTGCTCGACTCACACTCTGAGCTGGCCGAGATCGACTGGAGGCTAGAGGCCACAGCACTTGAAGTAACCGCCTTCGCAGCATCTCGATCAGGCGAAGCCTTCAGACCAGAACTCATTGACGTGCTATATCCTACAACAGCCTTCCTTGGCTCTGCGAGCTCACAACTAAGAGAGCATGCAATCACGACCTTGAACGTTCTTGCTGTATCGTGTGGGTACACGAGCGTCTCCGAATTAATCATCGAGAACGTCGACTATATGATCAACTCTGTCTCGCTGCGGCTCAACACGTTCGATATATCGCCGGCGTCCACGAAGGTGTTGGTGATGATCACTCGCCTAACCGGGTCGCGACTGCTGCCGTACCTCGACGACGTTGTGGCCTCCATTTTCGCAGCCTTAGACAACTACCATGGGTACCCGGTATTTGTTGAAAGTCTGTTTGCAGTGCTCAAGGAGGTTGTAGAACAAGGCGTGAAGTCTGACAGACTTCTTCTGGAGGGCCGACAAAATGGACCAGAGAGTCACAAGAAGGCTGCCGGCAGTCATGTCACAATTGACGACATTGTCAATTTATTGAAGAGACGACGGGAAAGAGAGACTGAAGCCTTGATCGACGATGTGACCGACGAAACTAACAACAGTCATCCTCAAGAGCCTTGGGGTGCGCAGGACCAGAAACCCAAAGACGGCGGGGAAGAAGGAATTGACGAGGACGCTGCAAACAACCAAGTCGAAAAGGAGAAACCACCCAAGACACCAACGTATACCCTACTGGAGAAGATCGCCGGCTTGACACAGCACTATCTTACTTCACCCAGCCCTACGCTGCGAAAGTCGTTGCTCGACCTACTGGCCACCGTATCTCCAGCTCTTTCAGGCGACGAAGACTCTTTTTTGCCGCTGATCAATGCTGTATGGCCGGTGGTGATCACCCGAATCTACGACGAGGAGGCGTTTGTGACCATTTCAGCCTGCGATGCCCTCTGTGCGCTCTCCGCCACCGCCGGAGACTTTCTAGCCTCCAGAATCAAGACAGAGTGGTGGGACGGGCTGGGAAAGTGGTGTCGAAAGAAAAAGCTAGAGGCTATCCAGTCTCGAGGTAAGGGTAGTACGCACCGAGAGAGTACCAGGCCAGGCCAGGCCGCCGGGACTACGAGTCAGAGAATCGTCATTCCCGTCATGACAGGAAGCGATCGGCTAAGCTATCAATCTGCAGAGATAACGAAAGGCTCGGTATCAGGCGGCTTGGGCAAATTCGCTCAATCTGCACAGATCTGGGATTCCGTGATTCGCATGTTGACAGCTATCGCTTCACATGTCCGCCTTGACGCCGAGATATTCGACGAAGTGCTGGATCTGTTGAGCGAAGCACTTAGCCAAAACGTTGAAGCACGTCGCGCCTTGGAAGCTGTCAATGGTGATGCAGTCTGGCTAGCCATGTACCAGCAGGGACAGGTCAAGGCCCCAAGTCTACCCAGACTAAACGGCGTGACTTTTGCATCCTTGACGACGCTGAGCTGAAGCTCGCCTCGCATGCATCTCAGCCCTCACGACGGGTAGCTACGGATACGCAGAAAGCTCTAGCCTCCAAGTTGTGAATCGTTCGATGGGAGCTGCAAGATCACATGGTAGCAACTATTATCCAACCACCACCAATAGGAACACAACCGCGGGCTTAATGGAAGCTAGAAGTGCGCTAGAATCATTTTGGTCTACAGAAAGTCCAGATTGGCCCCGGGATGGCTTCCACTGCATGACAACGATCACAGGTCGGGGCTGGAGCTGAAGATGTGACAGCTCTGAGCTGCATGGCACCACGGGAAGCATGTTCGGGCGACCTTGGCGACCTTGGCGCCTCAGGACCAGGACGCCCGATAGCTGCACAGAGAACGCGTAGTACATAGATTGCCGTCTGACGCGGGGTTGCGCACCATTCCCATCTTCTCGGCGAGTCCGGCCACTGCGACAACAGGGGGCAGAGCTGATAACACTCTGAATGGATCCGTGATCCGACATGATAGGAAGTAGAGACGGATCAGCGAGATACGAGCGCTTTGCTCGATGATTACAGCGCTCAGGTGCCGCCAACCGTGATTGACGAGCGAAACAACACACCTTCACAATAACTACATACCTAGACACTTTCTCACCAAAGGTGCCAAATTTGCGCAAAGATCAAGTGTTCCATAGCCCTTGTTTCAATTCGGGACGAAGGGGGGCCACGCGAACATGACTTCCGGGGGGATGCCTGGAGGTTTCTGCAGAGAGCGAAATGAGGGCGTCTACCCCAGATCCCCACGACACTCGATTTACACTACGCAGTAAGGGCAGAGTACTCCGTAACCGAGAGGCAATTGACGGTTCGGTGACAAAATGACACATTCCTCTTCAGGAAGAAGGCATCATCCTTCGCGGGAACGGTCCTACCAGATGCAGTATCGGTCACCTGCACCAAGGCTAGAAACCGCACGCTTCACCGGATCGTCTGGGCGCGATTTCGAGCAAAAGTGCTGCAGCAGAATGGGGGCGGGGCGATGGAGAGGAAGTGCGGGTGGTCAAGAAACTAAGACTAATTAATTACCAAGACTCCAAAAGATGCCCTCAAATGCTTGGCCTCAAGCCGGCCAATGATATCTTCAAGTTCAGTTGTCGCCAAAGCTTGATTTGTCTCGGCGTCCAAGGGACCAAGAACCTCAGGCGACGATCACCTCGATTTCCATCCTGTCGGATCACTTCTTGCCACCTCTTCACATTGGAAGGGCTGCCCATCTCATCGCGATAACACAAATCGTATGCTGTCAATTGTTATTTGAGATTGCGACGGACACGAGCATTGCGATTACTAGTTGCGCTGGTCCCGAGTCAGATCATGGCGCCATACCCGTTCGCATCGGGGGGACGCTACGCCTCACCTGCTTGCTATCCAATGAACAGGGGCTTTTGGTCAGTCATCTGGCCCCCGGGTCTAAATGGGACAGTCTTCTAGAACAAAATGAGCCTGACGACAGGAATGCGGCAATTATTTGCCAGATAGTGGCGGCGCCATGCAACCTTTTACTCGGTCGTTCGTCTGTTGGCGTACGAAGATCGCGTGCCTAGGACTTTACCACTATCCAACAGAGATGCTCTTCGCACTTCTTCGGACTGTCTAACTACTTGTTGTCTAGAGGCCGAAGCCAATAGCACTGCCGTTTTGAAGCCACGACGACGGCAGTCGCTGTACTCGAAGTCAATTGAATAATACCACCGACTATTTGGAACGCCAAAGGAGCGCCAACAAGATGACAGCTAGGCACGACAAAAGATCCAGGAACGAAAAGCCGAATATACAGAAGCAAAGCTTGCTGAAGCATGCCACCCTTAAGCCTGAAGCCTTGGGCTTGGAGCTCTCATATACCTTGATGACAACCTTTTGCTTACCTTCCTTATCTGTACCACTACAATTCGCACCCAGCTTATCACAGGTGCAGGGGTATGGAACAAGGGATGGCTGGTCTCAGGAAGCTGGGGAGGCCCGCCGGGGGTATGATTGACCCTAGAGTATCGCCGAGGAAGCCAAGATATCAAACTCGCTTGAGCCAATCACGACGACCACTATCTACTCGACCTCACTTACCAATTGGTGTAAGCTTCGCCCGAAAACCAGGCTAACACGAATGGGCTTGCCCTTGTCGAGCAATACGCATGCCGTGCCGGGTGACAATGGGACCACCCCCAGGCTCGCTCCCATCTCGAGGGTCTTAAACCAATCTGCTTTGGCTCTAGTACCGTTGGGGCCAACTGTCTTATCATCGGTGAAAGCTTGTCCTGTCCACCTCCTCCGAGATGTCTAGGGTCTAGGCCTCACGTACGACCTGCCATCCATGCGGAAGAACGGGACTAGGAGGACGGCGTTGCCGGGGACTGGTAGGCCAGAGTCCTGACCCCATGGCACTGGTACACTCCTGTTGCACCCAAGCTGGCCCAGGGGGAGAGACAGAGTGCGCGGCATCAAACGCTGATACCCGATTGCCTGTCCATCAAACTGAAGAATACCTGCCTACCTTGTCTTGCTATTCTGTGTGTATATATACCGGGGCCTCTTGGCGCCAACCCTCGCTGTATAGGTTGCATTCTTCGTTACCTCGTTTCTCTCCAAAACCAACAACGAGCTCGAGGAGCCAGATTCACTTGGTATCAGTCCTCAAGATGTCGCACCAACCTACTGTTGTCGATGACGACAAGCACTACACCAAGGACCCTGTTGTGAACAGCAATGGCAGCTACGGGGGATCTCACGATGAGGAGGTTGGAGTTGTCACAAAGGGCGAGCCCCTCCAGCGAAACCTGAAGAATAGACACATGCAGATGATCGCCATCGGTAAGCTTCACCATACTCCCTTGTTCTTCTCGGGCCCTCGCAGTTTTACTGACTCTGTACTGCAGGCGGTGCTATTGGTGCCGGTCTTTTCGTCGGTTCTGGTGGTGCTCTTCGAAGTGGTGGCCCTGCCGCCTTGGTAAGAGGTCATCGACAGTGCATTGGAAATTTCAAGACTGACGAAAGGAATGATAGATTATCGGTTACATGATTGTCGGATTCATGTTGATGCTTACTACCCAGGCCCTCGCTGAGATGGCTGTCTTGTATCCCGTTAACGGTGCCTTCTACACATACGTCTGCCGATTCGTCGACCCTTCCTGGTGAGTATACACACATCGCCTCGTTAGCCGACCCGGAAGGCGCTTTTTCTAACATGTACACCAGGGGTTTTGCCATGGGTTGGGATTATGCTATCGCTTGGTTGACCGTATTGCCCTTCGAACTCGTTGCCGCCAGTATCACCATCAAGTTCTGGCGCGATGACCTCAACATGGGCATCTGGGTTGCTGTCTTCCTCGTCGTTCTCGGCATTATCCAAATCTTCGGCGTCCGCGGATACGGAGAGGTCGAATTCGTTCTCAGTCTTATCAAGATTGCCGCCTGCATCGGCTTCATCATCCTCGGTATCGTCATCAACTGCGGTGGCGTCGGCGACAAGGGCTACCTCGGTGCCAAGTACTGGCACGACCCTGGTGCGTTCCAGAACGGCTTCAACGGTTTTGCTGGTGTCTTTGTTGTTGCTGCTTTCGCCTTCGGTGGTACTGAGCTCGTCGGTCTTGCTGCCGCTGAGTCCGACAACCCGCGCAAGGCCATCCCCATGGCTAGCAAGCAGGTCTTCTGGCGTATTGCATTCTTCTACATTGTCAACCTCTTCATCCTTGGCCTCATTGTCCCGGCCAACGACCCCCGCCTCTTGGGTTCCTCCGGCGCCAACACCAAGGCCTCCCCCTTCGTCCTTGCCATCCAGGATGCCGGCATCAAGGTCCTTCCCTCCATCTTCAACGCCGTCATTACCATTGCCGTCATCTCCGTTGCCAACAGCTGCACTTTCGGTTCCACCCGCACGATGCAGGCCATGGCCGAGCGCGGCATGGCTCCTCGCTTCCTCGCCTACGTCGACAAGCAGGGCCGTCCCCTCTGGTGCGTCCTGATCCAGATCGCCTTTGGTCTCCTCGCCTTCATCGGAGAGTCCGCCGACAGCAGCACCGTCTTCGGCTGGCTCCTCGCTCTCTCTGGTCTCTCCTACTTCTTCGTTTGGGGCTCCATCTGCCTGGCCCACGTCCGCATGCGCATGGCCTGGAAGGTCCAGGGATTCACCCTCGACCAGATCCCCTACAAGAATCCCTGGGGCGTCTGGGGCAGCGCCGTCGGCCTGTTCCTCAACATCATCTGCCTCATCGCCACCTTCTACAATGCTCTCTACGTAAGTTTTCCTTCTCTTTCCCAAAACCTTTGCCATGAATCACATTGCTAACGTTCTCCTTATTACAGCCCTCTCCCAACGCACAGCCCGATGCCACGGCCTTCTTCCAGGCCTACCTCGCCGCCCCGATCGTTCTCTTCCTCTATCTCCTCTGGAAGCTTATCTCCCGCGACTGGCGCCTCTACGTGCCCCTCCGCGAGGTCGACCTCAAGTCAGGCGTCGTCCTCGCCGACCCCTCCGACGAGCCCGCGGAAGTCAAGACCTGGGCCAACCTCCCCAAGCGGGTGGCTCGTGCCTTGTTCTAGACGGGTGTAACACATCCAAGAGATGGCACAAGTTGCTCCTCTCCTATGTTGGAGAGGTGGCTTGTAGATAAAGCATGGTTGTGGGATATTTGAAAAGGAGGCGAAACTTTGCATAGAGCGTACAAACACTAGAAAAGTACTGCTTTGAGGATGGGAGACGTCATTATTATACCTTAAAGATACCAATGTTGAATTTTTACTTTTAAAAGATCGTCCAAGTTATCTCTGTGAACAGTTATCTGCATGACTTGAAAAGTTCTTGATCAGAATAATTCAGTACAAAAGGGACACGGTATGACGTTGAGCCTCACTCCCCAGAATTGTACAAAGGTCTCAGGGCTACACCGACAGTTGACGCCCTGCCGGAGAATTCACGTGCAAGGGAACGGACGTAAAAGCAAACAAATATTGGGGCCAAGAGTCATGATGCAACTGTTTTCTTCAACTATGAGACGTCTCCAGCAATCATATGTACAAGAAAGTGCTCTATTGGAAGGGAGGGGGCCTCGACTCAGCACAGCGCTGTTCGCGCCATGAAAGATAAAATCCAGGAATCGTGGCGATCCATGCGCTCGCTTGGCCAGTGTGTACATTCAATTCTAAAGAGCCAAAACCATCTCCGTCTCTATAACGGCCTGGCAGATGTTGTAACCAGCTAAACCAAGCCTCTCTATCTACTAGTTCGCTGCTCGCCCGCCTCCGCCGCGAGATCTCTCTCCACCATCTCGATCGAGCCCAAGCTAGGGAAACGCTTTGAGAAATCCTGAACGTAGTCATCCTTCTCCTTGGCAGACATCTCCAACACCGGTCGTCCGGGCAGTCCCACGCCTACGAGATGCTCAGAAGACATAGATTGCGAAGGGTGGGGCTGCTTCGGCGGCGAGCCTGGTCTACCACCGGTCGGCAAGCTATTCAGGTGCATTGGCTTCCGAGGTGCAACTGGCCTTGGCCCCGGTGTAGACCGTCCGGGTGTTGGAACCGGCTCGTTTGCGGAGGGCCGTACTTTGTTAACCATCACATCTGAGGAGTTTGACGGCGTCATGGGGCGAGGTTTGGCGCCGCCCACTGGCTTCCTAGGGATATCGGGAAGCTGCTTGTCCCTGCTAGTGGGCGAGGATGTGTCTGTGTAGATGCCGTACCCCTGAGCAGTGCGCGGAACTTGGACTGAAGACTTCTGGCCCTCACTTAGCAGATTTTGAACCCTGTTTTGGATACTGACAGCCCGAGAGACGCCTCCTATGCTCTTTGGCAGCGATCCGGGACCGCCGGAACCTGGTGCTTGGTTGGTGAATCTTTGGCGATATTCCGCTGCAGCCGCTTCAACACGACGTTCTTCCTCTTCAAGGCGCAAACGCTCCACCTCACGTCTCATTGCCGGTGTCATATCCTCAGTCTCCTCCAGGCCTTTACCATCATCGGTTCGGCCATCGGTGGCTTCCGATCCCTCAATGGGGTCCAATGCACTACCCCGCTCGAGCTGCTTGAGTGGCGACGGAGTCCGAGCCGGTGGTGGTGCTTGGTTTCCCTCGAAACGTTTGAATGCATCTCCAAATTTGCCAGCAAACATACTCTTCGTACCGGATAAAGAGCTAAGACTTCCGCGTTTGCCATGCTTGGAGTGCCAGTCTCGCTTCTTCGAGTCTGACTCTTCCATACTGCGCAGGAAGTCCACATTGGACTCGATAGGGGCTTCCTCTTCCGGCTCTGCTACTGCAGGAGATGGCACCCTCTCGGGGAACTTGGGGGACATGAGACCGGGAGAAGGAAGAGGCTTCGAGGAGCCTTCTTTCTCTCGCAGAAAATCTAGATTTGATTCTAAATGAGTGCTTACGGGGCGCGGGCGTCCGTCAATGGATCTTCTCGACTGGGCACTCGCATCGAGCAGCTCCATACTTGGCCGACCTCCTTCAAGCGACGGTCGAGAAGATGATGGATGTCGCACATGCGTTGGGCGCAGCTGATATGAGGGAGCGCGAGGCAGCGACCCCTCTTCGTTCCCTGGGCGCAACGGTAGAGCCTGGTCTTGCTGACGGGGAAGGCTCGTAGACCGGTGATGATCTGTCGCAGGTACCTTCCACACGGGCATCGCTTGCGGAGGCTTGTGTTCAGGTGGAGGTGAAGCTGTCATTGTCCCAGTTGACACATATCTCGACGGCTGTGGCTGAGGCTGATACTGCGGCTTGGTCTGTGAAGAGATCGCCTGCAGTTCTGGGTTCTTATTAATGATGGCGTGCGCTCTACTCATCTCCGTTGGCTTTGGAGGAGCAGATGCTGTCTTGGTGAGTCCCACCGTACCTGGGGGAGGCGACTTGACCGTTGGCGGCGGGTAGGAAGCAGTGACTGCCGGTGCGACAGTTCTCGGTCTGGCCTGTTCTTGGTGCTTCGGCGGGGAATGGGATGTCGGGAACTGATCCGCCGACCTGTCGGCAGACCTCGGGACCGGGACTCTCTGCTGCTGTGCTGGGGGCGGTGTATGGGAGTCGAAGTTGAACTTTGTACCATGCTCGTGGAGGATGGAGAATTGATCAACGGGCGGGAATCTAGACGCAAATTCATCCACATCCCCCGCCATAGCTGCGGATGGCGCCGCCGCCGCAGCACTGGTAGCGGGCGCATCTAGAGCGGCAAAAGGGTCTCCGTTTGTCACTCTCATAGGAGACGGGCTTGGTTTAGCCGCCTGGGAAGGCTGAGGTTGTTGGTTAGCGGCCGGCAGCCTTCCTCTTCTCATAGGAACAATATCGGGAATGGCCTCCTGCTGCTGAGCAGGCGGGGAGAAGACGGCGCCGACTTTTTGTTGGGGCTTCTCCGTAGCAGAGGGTCTGCTCTGTTGAGTTGAGGGCTGCTTTCCGGCATAGATCTGTGCAAATGTCAGTCACATGGCCATGATGCCTGTGAAACAAGGTTCCTACATCATGAATCGGAACATCACGTCCTTGCATCGCACATCCCTCACGGAGGACCTGGTAGATGTTTGGTCTTGCCTGAGGACTCTCGCGCAGCATGGATGCTACTTCTGTTAGTTATCATGACGTGGCCAGTGTCTCTTATTACTCACCAATAAGTTTCTTCAGCCGGTCTGAGAATACAGGGTAGCTGGGATACTTGAAGCTCGCGTTAAGAATGGCCAGCTGTCCCTGGTCCTCGAAAGGTGTTGTATAGTAGCACAACTTATACAAGAGAACGCCCAAAGCCCAAATATCCGACTTCTCGTCGATGGGCTGTTTTCGGTAGACGTCAACCATCTCTGGACTTCTGTACTGCATGGTGGTATGCTTCTGCACATCCTCGTCTAGAAGTCTGCATTCGACAACGGTCTGGGGCGCGGGTTTCGGCGGAGCAGCAGATCCAAAATCGCAAAGCTTGAAACGCTTCTGTGAACCATTGCTCAGGATCAAAACGTTTTCGACTTTCAAGTCCCGATGAAGTAGCGGTGGCTTGAGGTAGTGCATACAGGCGACACCTTCTGTTATATCGGTAAAAATGTGGAGGATCTCGGGTTCGGTCAAGCGGTGTTGTAAACGGGTGTTCATGAAGTCGATGAGTCCGCCTCCATTGCAGAATTCCATGAGTAGAAACACCTCGTATCCCCCTCCTCGCATTTCAGATGCATGGGAATCGATGTATGTGACGATAGGGCGATGGCCCTTGAGCCTCTTCATAGTCTCGACCTCGATTCGCATGCTGCGCAGAGCCTCCTTATCGGGAACGGCGACTCTTTTCAAGACAGCCATGTCGGTGCCATCGACAGCTTTCGGAAGCTTTACCAGATAAACGTGTGCGAAGCCTCCCTCGGATAGGTATTTCTGGATTACTACCCTGTGACCTCCGACCTGTATCTTCGTTCCGGGCGTGAAGGTGCCGGCAGGCGCCGCGGCCACAGAGGCAGGCATTGGGGCGCCATAGGTGGCAGGGTGAGCAGCTCGAGGAGCCGCAGCGGGCATATGATGGCCGTAGGATGCCATGTCGGCCAGATGGCTTCGAAAAAGTGTTGTCGGTAGTTAATGTGGCCGTTCGGAGGATTCAGCCAGGCCGAGGATGTCGTGGGTCAGCGGGAGGAGGTTGAGGTCGAGGTCGGTGAGATGCTGGACGGTGAGAAAGCACGGGAGTAACAGAAGAGCGAAAGTGACATTGACGAGCGTTTGCGACCCGAGCAAGGAACAATTAAGCCATTCTTAGGTGCCGATGGTATCGATGGTGTATATTGGTGTCTTGGAGGAGTTGGTTCTAGGTTGCCATTCAGCTGGACCTGAACTTGGACATGCGTAGTGCGTAGTTCGCAGGTATGGAGTGTCCCTCGGTCGCTGTTAGTGGTGGAGCGCTGGCATTAAGGCCTTGGGAAGTAACCAAGACACTGGCACACCCTGTTCCATGTTTCGCAATGCAGTCGGGGAAGTGTCGGGTAAATGCACCGGACATGTTGTCATTGGCTGAGCAGCTGGGCCAGAGAGGCATGCCAGGCGGCACCAAGTGTGAGGCTCGTCTGATCCCGTAAACGTTCAGGCAGAGATCCAAGTTCGTTGGTGGGGTAGATTCAGCTACTTCCATCTTACCCATGTCGTCTTATCGATATCAGATAACGATAAGATAATTTATCGATTCGATAATTTTTTTTGGTCCTTGCCTGGGTCTCGAGCCGCTTTGCGCTGCAGAGCTGCAACTTTTTTAATCTGATCTTGCACGCTAGAAAACTTACGCAGGCCCAACGGAACGACGACGAAGATAATCAAAATGGTTACCAAAAGAAAGAGAGTCGAGATCGTGGATGCGACTCCCGCATCCAAGGCAGCACCCTCGAAGAAGACCAAAGCAAGCACCAATGGCTCTATCTCTAAGCCGTCAAAGGCGTCTAAGGCGAAGAAATCAACAACTGTGACGGGCCCCGCCGAAGAGGTGACGATACAGATTGTCACCGGCTCCTACGACCGAGTTCTCCATGGCGTTACTGCGACAGTCAAGCCAGAGGGTAAGGTCGAGTTCGCTGACACTTTCCTATTCTCTGCGCACACCTCGGCCATCCGCTGCATCGCCCTATCCCCTCTCTCAGCACCCATCCCCGGCCAAGGCCAGAAGGTCCTTTTGGCGTCTGGCGGCACCGACGAGCGCATCAACCTCTACAACCTTTCGGCGCATCCCCCGAACCGCAAGAACCAGGACGCCCTCTCCGCCGTCTCCGCTCGCCCTATTCTCGAGAACCCCAAGAACAGAGAACTGGGAACGTTACTACACCACTCGTCGAGCATCACCAAGCTATCATTCCCCACCCGATCGAAGCTGCTTTCCTCGAGCGAGGATTCCACAATTGCCGTCGCGAGAACGAGGGATTGGTCCGTCTTGTCGACTATCAAGGCACCGATAGCCCAGGCCTCGGGCAGACCCAGCGGTGACACCGCGCCCTTTGGCGGCGCGCCATCCGGTGTCAACGACTTCGCCATTCACCCCAGCATGAAGTTGATGATCAGCGTCAGCAAGGGCGAGCGGTGTATGCGACTGTGGAATCTTGTCACTGGCAAGAAGGCCGGTGTCCTGAACTTCAATCGCAGCATGTTGCAGGAGGTTGGAGAAGGAAGACATTCTACGGGAGAGGGACGGAGAGTAGTTTGGGGAAAGACAGAGGATGAGGACGAATTCGCGGTTGGGTTCGACCGAGACGTTATCGTCTTTGGCATGGACAGTGTCCCCAAATGCCGTGTCATGCCCGACACGCGGACAAAGATTCACGACCTCTCCTACATCACCGTCGACGGCGAATCCGAGTCAAGCCTATTGACGGTGTGCACCGAGGATGGACGGGTCTTGTTCTTCTCTACCAAGGCTGGCGACTTGAAGAAGCCCGAATCAGAAGACAAGACCCTGTCGAGCGCCAAGTTGGTCGCTCAGATCGGGGGCAAGGACGACGGTGTTGTTGGCCGCATCAAAGACACAGCCATTCTGCAAATCCAGGAGGGTGATTCCACGGCACTGCTGGTGGTTGCTGGCAGCAGTGATGGCAAGTTGCGAGTCTGGAAGATTGGCGCAAAGGAACTCGCCGCCGGGAAGGGCGAGAAGGCTGGCAAATTGTTGGGAACTTACAGCACAAACAACCGCATCACATGCGTAGCGGCATTCACGATGATCCCTCGGCCAGAGGGAGTGGAGGAGAGCGAGGACGAGGTGGATGAGGATTCTGACGAGTCTGAGGATGACGACGATGAAGAGTAAACTACAGCAACTGTGCAATAGCAATGATAATCCAAGATATCCGTGTGACAGCAATTATCGCGTCGATTCCAGCCCCTCGGGCATTGTAGAGGTCCATTCCGACCGAAGAGGAGTGTGGATTTCAAACGGCGGTCGGAGAGACGGCTCCGACTTACCGTTACCAGGCGTCGGGTCGTTGGTTTCTCAAACTGGCCTGTGCGGCAATCCGCTGATCGGCATCAAACGTGTCTCGTATTAGTCTGCAGATTGCATGCCAATCCCCAGTTCTGTTCTTTGGCACGGGCGTTTACAACTACTGCGGAGGTGCGTCGACGGCCTCGATGGGTTGAAGGTCCGAGGGTTTGATCTTGACTACGGCTTCAGATCAAAGTTTGGTGGTGATGGACCATGAGGGCGTGGTAGGCTAAGAAGTCCGAGATATTTGCAGAACGGGCTGACTACTTTAATTAGTGTAATATGGGGAATGGGCGGAATTGACAAGACATGTGCCGAATCTAGAGACACGAGAAAGTAAGGAATACCACGCGTGTCAAGTGTCGTGTTCAAAGTTTTCTTCACAGGCGTGGCTTCGAGCGTGCAACGTCTGAGTAACGGGTGATATAACTCGGATTTCTTGTCTGTGTCTCTGAAAATGGTGACTCGAAATGGCACGAGGGTTGATAGCCGGCAAGACATTAGACCCCGACGGTCCACGGGAAGCAAGGCTATCGCCGTCTTCCCGCTCCCCCCCCCCCCCCCCCCCCCCCCCCCCTCGCCTCCGCCCTCCTCCCCCCCCCTGTTTCAGGCCCTGTTCGGGGTTTTGTCAACAAATTGGTCCTTTCTCTACAACCACACTTACCCCTTATATTTTCCCTTTTTCCCCCTCTCCGCCCCCCTCCCCTCCCCCCCCCCCCCCCCCCCTGGGCCCCTTTGGACCTTCGGTACCTACCTTGCCCTGATTGAGAGTCCTGCTGGGCTTAAGTCTAACAATTGCGTCTTAGTCATGACTCAAACTTGCGACTTTTCATCTTCATTGTATCCCCCCTTCGTTCTCCTGGAATTTGATCAAGGAACATGTCTGAATACGCGGACTGCTCGGAAACGGTCAATAGCCCCTCTTCACGCGGAGTACCAAGCATTAGCTAAGCTGGCAGGGAGGTAAGGGTGGCGTTCGGTCACGCTTGCAAGGGTGTTCTCGCGGCTCTTACCAAGTACATACTGTGGTAGACTATGCCAGGACAGTGTGGAGAGGAAGTCCAGTTCTCAGGTGAAGGAAAGAGCGGAGAGCTAGCTGGTACTGTCACGGGATCGCACCGGTGGGTTTTGGAGGCACTGGAGGGGAAAGAAACGCGGTCAGCCGCTTCCACTTTGTGTACCGGTCTGGCTGGCCGGGAGCGATCAGCGCTGTGGTGTAGCTTGGTGCGCCTGCGAAACGGGGTGACGGGCTAGCAGAGTGTGGGGTAGCGGCGAATCAGCAGGTCAAGAATGTCATTTCAAGAGCCCAATTCTGGTGTCGAGGGGACCTTCCGCGCCTGCTGCACGCTCCTTGCACCCAGTCATGTGGCTCCACTAGGACACACAGCTTTTGCACGCAGTTGGGGCTTGGCGGACCTGGAGTCCCCTAGCTTCCCGGCTCATACGCCCGGGCATGCTTCTTTTCGCTGCTCACCAATCCGAGGGATGCCAATGCTCAACAGCGGGGGGAAAGACTGTTTAATTGTGTGCAGGTACGAAAAGGTGTGTGTAAAAACTGCAGAATTTTTTGGCAAGCTACCTTCCGGTCTCCAGTCCGTTTGGTCACTGTGGTCACGCAGCATATCAGCATCAGCACCACCTCAGTGTAATGTACACTATCAACGATTGCAACGGCGATCCAGTCAACGGCAGGTGAGGTGCATATGCATGCAGATTCCAGAGAGGAGAAGGCAATGCAAGCCTCACACGTTGGAGGTGACTAAAATGCCGTAGGTAGGTATGGATGCAGAACAGAGAGGTATGTATGTTGCGGTACAGGCAAGCCGCAAAGACATGGGTAGGTCTCCATAGCTAAGGTACTCCCTCCGAAAGTACCCCAGGTACGAGGCAAGGTACGAATATACATTTACAACCTACAGAACGAGTATCCGCACTCCAAATAAAATGTACTTCGTCCCTGCAAAATAGGCACCTCAATGCCAAATGTGAAAAGTCCAGACATGTGAATATTACTCTATTTTCCCAGTCACCTCCACTCCCCTCTTCTCACTTTTCTCTCCTGCTCGTAACTCCCATGCAACCTCTTCCAACCTGCTTGTCCGTTGCTGTTTATTCACTAAGCCACACAACGCAGAGACCACACCACCATCACGCTGTGATTCCCCTCTTCTCGTCTGTTGCCCGCATCTGTTTTACCGTTCGTGTCTCGTCCTTGGTCGTAGCCGTCGTCGTCCCGGACCAGAGACGCGCATAAAGAAACACGCCAGTATTCCTACCGACCTTACATGCGGCAGACTCACGGCCGCTAAGAACAGACCCTCACGCCTTGCTTACTCTCGTCTGCCACGGACGCCAGCAAGCCACAGCGAACTGACCTCTAAGAGATGATGCCGCCGTCGCCGCCTCCTTCACTCCCGTCACCCTAACCTACCGCCTTGTGCCCATTTTCGTCACTCCCGTCTGTTTATAGCTGGTCGTCTCGACTGCTTTCTTTCCCCGATACAGGCACATTGGTTCTTTCCTCTCTCCGCCGTCCCTCCACTCCACCCACCGCCAACTCCCACGACATCCTGTGGCAGGGTTGTCTTGCATCAGCTCCTCCGAGCCAACTCAACCTAGACCTCTCACGCGCCACGCTCAGCCGTCGTATTTCCCAACAAAATATACGACCCTGGCTGCTTATAGTACTACACAACCTCGACTCTTCCAATCTTCCTCGACCTACCTCTGTTCGTCCGAATTTCTCATCATCTTAGCTCAAGGCAAACTCCATAGCCCACGTGAGGCGAGACACTTGCCTCCTCGTCTGAACTTAACCTGTGACGACAACAACACCTTCCACACAGTCGAATGCGGGGACCGTCTGGGCACTCTTATACGTAGACATTGAACCTCGCTGCCATCCGGAGCCCGAGCCTGCACCCTCGCTTTTATTGTGAGCACATAATTGAGCCCTACACCCTCTCGCCGACTAGCTCTCTGACTGATTGTGTCCTATAGTCTCCAACGCCTCCCTCTCTTCCCCGCTACTCCACGAACTACAAACATGTCCGACGACGGCCCCCGTCTTATAAGGCCTATCCCTCGCCGTCCCTTCGAACTAAATCACATTGCTCCGACTCCTCCAGAAGACAACTCGTCTTCCCCCAGTCCGAACCCTGAATTCGATTTGTCGAGACTGCACAATGCCCAAACAACGTCTTCAGAGTCCGGCTCCATACCTCGCGCCCAGTCGGTACTTAACATGACCGCATCGACGCTGTTTGGGATCTACTCGCCAACCACATACGGCAGAGACTCGCGAGATGAGCCGGATACCCCCTGGGGTACTGGTGCGCAAACACCTATCAAGAGGGACAATGTTGACGACACCACATTCGAGCTCATGAAGGATCGCTCCAATCTGTTGCGTCGCCGGCCCTCGTATCGAAGTGGAGCGAAGACTCCGCCTCCCTCAACAACAACCACGGCCCTGTTCAACCTGTCCCGCATTGCACTTCTCTTTGTGATTGGTATGGGATACGGACTAATGGTCACGAGGTTGCAAAATGAGCACAGATTCTCATCGTTCCAGGTCGACAGTATGATGAAGCCCGGCTATGACTGGCAGTATCTTACATTATGGGGCTTGTCTGGCGTTGGCCTAGGCGGCCTCCTCCCTTGGTTCGATGGCGTATGGGAGGATACGTTTGGAAAGGAGGAGGTAGTTTTGGAGGAGACGAACGGCAGCCCACCACCAGAAGATGTCAGCCCTGTAAAGGACTGGGCTGTGGTTGTCCGCAGCATAGGCGCTTTTGTTGGCATTGTATTCGCCATTGTAAGTGTATCCGTGTGTAAGTGAGTTTCGAATTGGAAAAATTAACAATGGGCAGCGAAAACTTCCCTGGGCATCTACCCTCCAGGTGTCTCTCACTTTGGCGCTGGTTAACCCGTTTCTGTGGTATTTGATCGACCGTTCGAAACCTGGGTTTCTGCTTTCGGCCGCTGTGGGCTTGGCGGGATCGGCTGTACTCCTCGGCATCAACCCAGATGTGATGCCTACACCATCATCTCTGACCTACCGGAACGAGTCGGAGCGGGCCTACTCGGAGCCCATCGCTCTCGGTGGGCTCGCCAGCCAAGAAACTATTGAGACGGGCATTTGGATGCTCAGTGTTTTGTTCTGCAGCTGCGTTTGCTTTGGCAACATTGGCAGACGATTGGCGTTGAACAAGTCGGCGTCTGCGCGTGGCCGATGGGCTGGTACCAGATGACAAGATCGTCTGTCATGATGGAAACTGTATCATTTCGGGTCATGAGTGTTTCCTAAGCTTTGTATTCTTGGAAAGGTTGGAATCGGTTAAAAGGGGGCATATCCGTATGGATACGAATATCCATTCCAGGGGTGTATTCTGAACTGTATTTGGTATAAATAGCGTAATGATATTCCCAGCGTCGAGAAATGCTGCTTTGCTAAGCGGCTGTCGCTGGTAATAAACCATGCATTGCCCCGGTGCACCTTTTCGTGTTTGAGACCACGACACTAGGATTCCAACTCATATCATCACACTGATGCTGCCATCATCCATCCTGTCGTCCGTCGAATGCACAGAAAAAAGAGTGAATAAGCCATCTGATCTCGATGTATCATTTTCCAACGTGTATGAAGCCGACTTCGTACCAGTCAGGTTTGACTGCAGTATTCCTCTGAAGTGGGCTCTTCGTCTCACTGTTTGGTGTATCCTTCTACTTTTCCCGCATTTGCCTCTAATTGCAGTAATTTCAATTTTTCCCAATATTTTCAAGCTTCTTGACGGCAAACCCGGCCAATGTCAAATCAATCTCTTTCGCTTCTTTTTGCCTTTTCAATGTGTGTCGACGATGTAACCCCTTTCCTTCTTCCAAGTCCATACCACCGTTTTTGTTTTTCTTTTCTTTCAGATAGCCTGCTTCAAGACATCGACAACCGCCTGCGATCTCGAAGCAATATCGTTGCCGTAATCCACCTGCGGGAGACCAATCATGGTGAGCAGCTTCGGGTTGGCAATCATTTCGTTGACCGTCGCCGATCGGCCGCAGACGTCGACAAAGGACTCGGCGGCTGCGTCGGGGCCGCTGCGACCTGGTACGCCTGGGAGTGTTACTCTCCATGTCAGCGATTCGGGCTCCTCTTTTTTTCTTGGTCCCCCCCCCCCCTCCTCCTTATCCGTTTCCGTACTCCTCCCACACTCCAACTTCTCCGTGCCGCCGGCCTGGTCCCCGCGCGCGCGCACTTGCGCCGCTCGGAGGGGGGGGGGGGGGGTGGGCTCGGGTACGGGGTCCGACAATACATCTCTTTCCGACCTCAATTAAAGGTCGACAAGAAAAGGGACAACACGTGCAGGGACTGGAGGCGGGCGTCATGGCATTTCAACAAACAAAAATGGTCCTAACCGATATCTTGCTGAGGGATCTGCTCCGGATACCGCACGGGCTCGCCGTCGCGGATGTGGTCGAGCTCCGTCATGATGTACCGGGAGCGGTTGACATAGTCCCAGACGTGGAAAAGACCCTTGTGGGGGTTCGGCGGGCTCCAGGCCGGGTGGGCCTCGATGGCGTCGATGAGCTCCGTGAACTTTTCAATGATTTTGGCGCGGTGCTCGGGGGAGGGGAGGCTGAGGGAAGACATGATGGGTAGATAGGGAAGACGTAGGGGGAAGTATGTTCAACGCTGATGTGGAAAGCGAAGCAAGCGGGAGGAGAAGAGCTGCGGTGTAGGATAAGTAAAGCTGTTGAATATGAGAGTTCCAGACTTGGCTTTGGATAGAAAGCTATAGCAAAGATACTAGAGTCCGCAAATGTCGGTCAATTGGTAGAGTAAAGAAAAGAAGAAGTGGGAGAGAATTGGGAGGAAAAATCCTCCGAAAGCTTCCTCAATGTCAACAAACTGTCACATGGAAAGTTTCCTCTTCTGTGAGTTGTCGGTGAGGGTAAGCAAGGGTTTGGAACGCGTTGCCGCGTTATTGTGGCATGTTTTCCAATCGCACAGACTCGGCTGGGCAACCAAAAGGCAGAAGAAAGCCACAGCTTCAACTCGAATTAGGTTGCGTTTTTTTGGCTGATGAGGGGAAGAATAGCGAGTGGGGTTCAAATGGCGGCATCTACCCTTGAGATGGGTAGAATGGAGGGGTTCGAGGGGTTGATGGGCAAACATGGGGTCAAATGGCTGGTACAGAACCGAAGATCTGCTCTGAAACTGGAAGCTCAGTTGCTGAGTCCATATGACGATCTCGTTACAGACAAGAAAGGTAAGGTAGGTTGCGTGGTTACACAGAGACTAACATCATACAGTATATGCAACATGGTATTAGCCACGAAGCCGACTGGTTCCCAATTTCTTAGAGAACCTCGGCGCCTAGTTCGTGCATGCCTTGGTACTTCTCTTTTTCTCTCATGGTACCGAGACATTGTTCTCTTCTGGCCGAGCTATGCAGATTTTCCGACCAAGGAGATGAAAGTTTGTGGTGTAACAATAGTAGTCTTACAGCAACTTACGCCCGCAGTGATAGTGATTACTTGTCACATATATTATCCCCAGTGGCTGAGGATTTTAGTCGACAACGCCCAATGAGAAGCTAAAACTGCGGAACAGTTGAAGGATGTGATACTCGATAGATTTTCGCCTCGCACTTCTATTCCGGGCATAGGTGTAGTGCGAATTGCGCTACTCTAGAGTCGAACTCGAGCCATCAAACGACTCTCGTTGCCTCGTAAGGTAGTAGCGCGTCTAACATGCACTTAGTACTGGCAAGTCAGGCTCCGCGGTCCCGGCAACATTGACTATCTGTGAGGTGAAGATGGCTGGCGGCGGCAACGGCCACGCAAGACGTCTGTGGCCAGGGACAGGCGCAAGACCGGCTTGCAGAGTAGCAACCGCAGAAAAGCTCAACAGCTGGCTAGTGCGCAGGAAGCGAGCGGTATGTGAGTAGCCTCATGACTTTACGCCACTACATTGCTTGAGCAAGGCTGAATCGAGATCCTGCTGTCTGCGTTCTTCGACCAAAGAGGCTAGTTGTTCGGGGCACTACTCACATTTGTTAGGCTTCGTGAGCGATGAGCAGCCCCATTGTCTAGCTGCGATCAGTCAAGAGTCAAGACCCGAGGCTGACGACTAGTAAGCAGGACCAGGACTAGGAATTTTTGGGAATCGAGGACTAGGTCTAGGGCCAATGAGGACTTGCCAGAGCTGAAACCGAGTTGGGCAAAAAGTCATGTTGCAGATGCTCATGAGACTGAGAGGGAGACATCCGAGACACGGTCGCCCGAAGGATAAGTCAGTTCTGCGCTTCTCAGACCTAATAGGGCGACTTATTGCCTAGATTGCCGAGAAGAAAATAGCCAACAAGTCCAGAACTTCAATGTTGAGCGAGAGGTACAGAAAGCAGCGGGCGTGCAAGGCAGGGGCGAAAAGTAGCCAAAGTGTCATGACGCACTGGATCTGAGAAGCTGAGCTGCATCTGAGTGGGCGCGGCAGCGAACAAGGCGCTGGAAAAAACGCTGGACCCTGGCTTGCCCGGGCATGTTTGCGCTGTCTTGGGTACGTGCAGGCGCTAGCGCCGATTGCCGGCCACAATAGAACGGAGCGGGATCGTTAAAAGCAGTTGCGATCACTTTCCAGAAGGCTCATCTTCGTCCGACTCAAGCATCGAGGTGGGAGGAAAAAACGCAGTTTTGTGTGGGAATACGGGCCACAGGCACATTGTTGCCTCCAGTTTCCCTGATGAGAGACAGAGGCGTCCGCCCAGCGGTACTCGCGAAGTCGCGGTACTTGTCGGCATGGATGAAGCGTGGTGAATGGCCATGCTTGCTGATGTCAGGGTCCTGGGTCTCGTCCGCATCGAGATCTGGCTACGAATACCTAGGTACGTGGTATTATTTTGCGGTGTGGCAGTTGTACTCGCAAGTTGCCGGCCACAGTGGTATTTCGGGTTTTGGCCTTTCGGAAATTGTTGGTTGGACGGTTTGGGGAGATGGAGAGTCCCTTGCAGATTTACGGTTACTGAATCTTTTCCCACGACATACGAGAGATTGCTTGTGTCTTGCCGCAAAGTCGATAGATCGCCTACCCTGCAATACATCCCGGCCGGGATTCGGACCAGAACAGACAAGAGCAGACGGGAGGGACTCGTGGAGGCGGGCCATCCTCCGAACATCACGTGGCATGTGTTGTCTCATGTCTTGCTGAGGTAAGCAGTCCCGACAGCGCGTGTGCACCTTCCAGCAAGCCCGCAGAACAGATATCCAAAAGAGGGGCAACAAGATGCTGAATTGCGTCATACCACAGGTCCGTATCTCTGTAAACCTGCAAGTACCAATTGACAGTGTCCAACAGCAAAACTCATATAACACAAGGCAGGTTGTCTAGGTTCTAAGGCTCCCTCGAAACAAATCAGGCAGTCGACCCCTCCATCAATTCGAGGCAAGAGGCAAAAACGCCCCGATCAAGCGTCTTTGAGCACATGAGATGAGCTGAAGATCTAGGACATCTACCGAGTTTAAATGTGCGTAAACACTGCTCCACAAATATCACAGAGTTTCCAGCTACTGGGAATTGCAGATCAGAAGAACAGTTAGTGCCGGTAAAAACCAAAGGCAGCTCGTAGCTCCAAGGTAAGGCAAGCCCACAGTCGATCAGCCCGCCGTGCAGCCGTTGAGAAGGGAAAATCTAGAAAGAAAATGCACTAGGCACGGAGAACAAAAACTGATTGAGCCGTGTTGTCCCAATCGGTCTCCCGTTCTCGCACTCACGCTTCAGGTTCTCTCGCCCGTCTCTATTGGACCCCGTGGTGTCCAAGACTCCAAGTGTCGTCACAACTAGCCTAGAAATTTGGCTACTGACAACAGCCCGCTAAACCCTTTTCCGACTAGACGCAAGGGGCCCTGTTCAGGGCATCTGGGAAAGAGCCACAAGAGCCCGCCCATGCGTCGTCGCCTGCCGCGAACTTCGCAACTTGTACCGGTACTTGACATGACCTTGGAATCTCGACAAGGACCGCCGGGCCTGGCGCTGTCCGGGGGCGGCTCTCTTGCTGCTTCCTCTCATTGTTCTTTCCTGCTTGTTGCTGAGATGTCGCTCCCATGGCTCCCCAATCGTAGCCCACCTCTGCCTTTCTCTCCAATTTCATTGACCTCATTGCACGGCCACACCATCCCCCGAACGCACCCCTCCTAAACCGTCCAGCCGCCCAGCGAATTGGTAACTCGACGTTAAATGTATGACGCCTGCCAGTTGTTATCCACCATCATTACCTTCGCGCCCCCAAACGTACTCTTTCTATGCGACAGACACTGGCTTGGTACATGCATCCCGCCAGTTCTCCAGCTTCTAGCTCCGGCCCTCGGTCTACTAGCTTTGCCGGTCTCTCTTCACCTGTCCGCTTTTGATCTCGTTCAGGCGCATCATGAGATCCGCTCGTTTCTGGAACCTCTGCAGCCCTGGTGATCCCGCATATATGACCCCTGGTCACTGTCCCCCCGTCTCTTTCTTGCTGGATCTTACATACGCTCAGGTGGCTACACGAAATACATAGCCATCCTCCACCACTCGACTTCGGCGGCGCTTCGTTTAACTATCTCGACTCACCGACGACACGTCCATTATACACCACGAGAGCAGGATTGTGCTAGGGAAGAAAAGGTCATTTACGAAACGAACCGGTCGCAAACTCATACAGACATCTACCTAAGCTGTGCCAGCACCGAGCTGGTGGAGACGGCTTCATGTCCTCCGACCAACCCCGAGTCGTCGAGAGCAGACCATCGGCCCTCACGTCCAACCCGGTACACGAAGCCGAGGACGAAAAGGATCATGGCACTGTCGAACGGCCACTGGAGGGCGACCAAATTCGAGGAGTCATTCGCCTGATACAATGCCGAAAATGCTCCCACCTTCTCCAAGAGCCAATTACACTTCCTTGCGGTCGAAGCCTCTGTAAACAATGTGTCCCAGAAACACACACTCGAGAAAATATATCATATCCCGCCACGCCAAATAGATTACAAGGCTTTGAATGCCCTTATGTGGAATGTGGGAAGAACCATGCCGTGGGCGACTGTGGCGTTGATGTCATCCTCACCAAGGCAGTCAACAACTTCAAGTTTGAGATGGAGAAGGCGAAAGAGACGAGCACCAAAGCCGAGATCTCCACGCATGTCATCATCAACAGTTCAGGTGCTGGGCAGTCAGATATGAGGGACGACAACGCAGAAGTGGCGAGGGTTGTGAAAGGAGGCCCCCTGCTCGCAGTCTATACGTTGGCAGATACAGGCGAGTTGGACTACAACTCAGCCGTCACTTTTGCCGAAGTCTCGTCACTCGGAGATGAGGCTACATCAATCGACTCAAGGACATTTTCTAAAGTAAAGGAATCTGTACGCACGGAAATGGACTGCCAGGTTTGCTATGCCTTGTTCTACGACCCTCTCACGACAGTTTGCGGCCACACTTTCTGTCGATCGTGCTTACACCGCGTGTTGGACCACTCCTCCTACTGTCCGATTTGTCGACGAGGGTTGTCAGTTAGCCCTCTGCTATACCAGGAGTCATGCCCATCAAATGAGAGTCTGAAAACCATCATTCAGACTTTTTGGGCCGATGCCGTTCTCACAAGAGGCGATGCTTTGGCGGCG